CCGTCCCGTCCGTCCGTCCCGTCTCGTTCGTCCGTCTCGTCCCGTACCGTCCCGTCCGTCCGTCCCGACCCGTCCCGTCCCGTCCCGTCCCGTGCTAGTCAGTCCAACCAGTCTCTTCCCGTGGCCATAACTTTATCATCTCTCGTACCAGTTATTAAGTCCTGATAACTCTGCTGTCTTGAATCATTTTGACTTTTAACCGTTTTTACACATCCGAGCTGACCTTTATCACTGTCAGTGCAATGTCAATGTCAATGTCTATGTCACTGTCAATGTATTTTGACTTACTCCGTTTTTACTCTTATCCCTGTTGGGTTATTTTCCTTTGACATTTCTCCTATTCACCTTTTACCCTTGTTGACTGTTAGTGCGCTCAACATTTTCCGATTGGTCGCTTGCTGCTGTCAACATTTATCTATTTCGACTTCTCGTCCCTGAACTTTTTCGTTCGGCTTTGTTCATTCGACCTTTTCACATTCAAATGTTTTCCCTCTTGTCCCCCTTGCCCCCCTTAAGCCAAGAACTTTACACTATATAGTGAACAATTTTGCAGGAATTCGGTCTGACTTCACCGCAGTTTTGACAAAATTTAATAGTTGCTCCTTCCCCCCCCCCTCAGGAAAAAATGTTAGTAGTACGTGCATGCCCGGGCCGACGCGGCTGGGCGGCGTGTGGCGGACGGGCGACCGCCGCTCCGTGGCTCTCCGCGGCGCGGCGACGACGCCTGTCTCTCGGCGGCCGGCCGGTCAGCGGCGGCGCGGCCCGAGCCGGCTGGTCGGAGCCGGCCCACTGACTCAGCGCCGCTGACGCCGCAGGCAGCGTCATGATCGCCGTCATCGTGCTGTCGCAGCGGTTCAGCATCAACCCCGACAACGTGGCGACGCCGATCGCCGCCAGCATGGGCGACCTGGTGACCCTGGCGCTGCTCTCCTGGATCGCCTCCCTCCTGCACAGAGCCATCGGTGGGTACATCCCTCCTGCACAGAGCCATCGGTGGGTACATCCCTCCTGCACAGAGCCATCGGTGGGTACATCCCTCCTGCACAGAGCCGTCGGTGAGTACACCCCTCCTGCACAGAGCCGTCGGTGGTACACCCCTTCTGCACAGAGCCGTCGATGGGTACACCCCTCTTGCACAGAGCCGTCGGTGGGTACACCCCTCCTGCACAGAGCCGTCGGTGGGTACGCCCCTCCTGCACAGAGCCGTTGGTGGGTATACTCCGCGGCACAGGGCTACTGGTGCCTGTTATGCAACTTTTGATGCCCCGTGCTACACAGAACCTTCGATTAAATACTGGTGGCTTTTCTGAGGATGAAAACCGCAGGGCGGATGTAACTCAGCAGAATGTGATCTTGCATGTGCTTGTGAAGGCCTCACGTTGCCAGAAGCTGGTCTGTGCGCGAAGGCCAGGCTTCTCAGCATAGCCATCAATCTTAGGCTTTATCTTTCCAATAACTATACGTAATGACCATGTCACGTCTTCCGTGCCTTTCGGGACTCGGTCGGCCGAAGACCGAACGAATATGTTTGGTCTACGCTGTAGAAAGGAGCACTATAAAACCGGGCACGGCTGGGTAGAAGCAATTATGTCGGGCTATAAGCGGCCGGTATTTTTAGTCACGGCATTACGATTTGGGCAGGTTTGGTCACGTTCCCGTGTCGACAGGACGTTTGCAGATGGGGACGCGCTTACATGTGGTGCATGCGTCGTAGACCTGCAGCGCCAGCTTCCATAAGCGGAATATCCGTGTCATTTGGTAGCTACCACTCAGCTATTGACAATGGTCGGAAACTCCGTGTCGAGCTCTGTGTTGCGTGACTTGATGGCGGATTCGCACAAATCACCGGAGAATGTGGTATAGTATCCTTCTATTGAGATTGATTGGTGTTTTTTTTTGTTGGTATTAAAGGAATCGTTTCCACTTTTGAAGATGTTAAAACAAGCAAAGATATGATGGCATTGAGCTCACTTATTACTATTGGTACACTTAATTAGAAAAGACTGCTCTAGACAACAGAATGTTCATGTTAAAGTTAAATATGCTTTTTAATGCGTCATTGTTTGATAATGTCATCGTGCGTTGTACGATATTGATTGAGAATCAATTGACGGCCATTATATATGGGAAATCGTGTACACGATCGCCAGGTATGGACGGACTCTACAATGATATATTTTTATCGGCCTTGATATCCGCATTGGCGAGTGTAATGTCAGGCTTGGAATGACGTTGTTTTAGCGTCATGAATTCCTGGGTGACCTTTCAAAACCCCATACAAATATGGAACACTCTCTTCAAAACCTGCTACAGTCGCAACGTTGACGCTTTTTGTGTTGCGTTTATGCTGTTATTGCATTTTGATATGATGGCAACGTCATAGAATATAGTTAACGTAAATGTATTACCCCGACTGTCGAGATCAGCTGTCCGCCGACCCTCGGTCAGCTGGCTCTAGTCACCAGCCTCTGGGCACCGACTCAGACAAGCAGACATGAGTGGCGTAGCTGCTAACTTGGTGTACAACGCGGGGTCTAGGGGCGTTTGACGCTCGCCTCCTGTTCTGTATAATCTGCACTCCCCCCATCTTCTTCTCTCTCTCTCTTCTCTCTCTCTCTATCTCTCCTCTCTCTCTATCTCTCTCTTCTCTTCTCCTCTCTCTGCTCCTCCTCTCTCTCTCTCTCTCTTCTCTATCTCCTCCTCTCTCTCTCTCTCTCTCTCTCTCTCTCTCTCTCTCTCTCTCTCTCTCTCATCTCTCTCTTCTTCCTATCTCTCTCTCTCTCTCTCTCTCTCTCTCCTCTACTCTCTTCTCCTCTCTCTCTCTCTCGTCTCTCCTCTCTCTCTCTCTACTCTCTCCTCTCTCTCCTCTCTCTCTCTCTCTCTCTCCTCTCTCTCCTCTCTCTTCTCTCTCTCTCTCATCTCTCTCTTCTCTCTCTACTCTCTCTCTCTCTCTCCGTCTCCTCTCTCTCTCTCTCTCTCTCTCTCTCTTCTCTCTCTCTCTCTCTCTCTCTCTCTCTCTCCTCTTCTCTCTCTTTCTCTCTCTCTCTCGCTCTCTCATCTCTCTCTCTCTCTCTCTCCTCTTCTCTCTCCTCTCTTCTCTCTCTCTCTATCTTCTCTCTTATCTCTCTCTCTCTCTCTCTCTCGCTCTGCTCTCTCCTACTTCTTCTCCTCATATCTCTCTCTCTCTCTCTCTCTCTTCTCTCTCTCTCTCTCTCTCTCCTCTCTCTCTCTCTCTCTATCTCTCTCTCTCTCTCTCTCTCTCTCTCTCTCTCTCTCTCTCTCTCTCTCTCTCTCTCTCTCTTTCTTGCTCTCGCTGTCTCTCTCTCCCGTCCGTGTGGAGCGGGCTGGCCGCCGGGCCCAGGCTGTGTGTGTGTGACGCGGCGTCCGTGTTTGGCCAGAGCCGGACCCGTGGCTGGCGCCCACCATTATCGCCGTGTACCTGCTGCTGATCCCGCTGTTCGCCTGGGTCTCTCACCGCAACCAGTACACGCGCGTCGTGCTGCTCGAGGGCTGGACGCCTGTCATCGCAGCCATGCTCATCAGCAGGTACGCAACGGAGACGGGCGCCAGCCGGCTACTCAGGGAACACGACATTCACCTGGTAGGTAACGGAGGTGTTTGGCAGCGAACACCGAGGGAAATGGTTATCAGCAGGCAGCATGGTATCTCTGGTGTGCAGAGGTAATCTCCACAGGTTTGTAATGGGGCGGCTACCGCCTGACATGCAACGGGGCAGCAATCGTGATCTTTGGTTAGTGAGCGACAAGCACGTGGAGGCATTACAGCCGTCAGATATGTAAAGAGACGTGAGCCGCCGTGATTCTTTCGACGGGCTTGCGGTCAGCTGGCGCGGCCGGCGGTGGAGTCGGCCGCTCGCTGAGCGGGCCAGAGGCGGTCCGTTTTCGCACAGTTGTGCGGAGCTGATCGGTGCCTGATGGCCGTGCTCATATCGATTCGGCCGCTAATGAGTGTGTTGCTCCTCGCTGCTGGTAAGTGGTCGGACGGATGGGGGCGGTCGTTAGGTGGCACGCGGCCGGATGGGTTTGACACGCCACAGCCGTACGGGGGCCATCTGCGTGTGTCTCAACCTCCGAAGTAGCTGCTGTTGTGGTGAACTGAGTTGAGTGAGCTGTGGGGCGGATGAAGACGGTGAAATGCTGACGGAATCTACAGAAGTGACTCGCTGCAATCAACATTGGACGCTCGCGTACGTGGTCAGAAGTTACCGCCCTGACGGGCGTCATGTATGACCTTTCACGGCAGTTTTGACCTGACCTGGCCTGCTTCTCCCGCAGCGCCGGCGGCCTGATCCTGGACTTCGCCGTGTCGGCGTACGAGGGCGTGGCCGTGTTCCAGCCGGTGATCAACGGCGTGGGCGGTAACCTGGTGGCCGTGCAGGCAAGCCGCATCTCGACCGAGCTGCACCGCGCCGGCCGGCCCGGCCAGCGGCCGCGCGCCGAGCACGCGCCGCTCCACGTCTGCCTCACGCCCTGGGCCGCCTTCTGCCAGACAGGTGGGCCGGCCGGCACGCGAGGCAGGCGCGCGCGCCCACCTCGGCGCCGGCTGCTGCGGCCGCTGTGGGGTTGTCGGACTGGCAGGTTCCCTTGTGTGGGAGGATGAATGGCGTGGTACGTGAGAACCATACGCCAGGTGACCACACTTAAGCTTCCGCGGTTCGTTTGGATCTGACAGTGTGAGCATGTTTTTTTTTTTGTCCGTATTAGGTCTCGTTCAACGTGTTCGGCTTTCGGACGAAGTGTGTGGCCCGCATTAAAAATCTTCACATCTGTCCCATTATGCCGGGCGAAATCGGGCGCTTCGACGTATTGGGCCACGCCGTGGCCAGTCTCCGACTCCTTGATAGTAGCGCAGCAGCTGTCCCCACAATTTCGTCCTCACCATTTTAGCCACGCTGAGGGGAAACAACGACAATAGCAGCTGATGTGGCTGCTGAACCGCGCGAGCGGCCCGGACTGACCCCCGCCCGCCTGTGGTGCGAGCGCCCCGGAGTGGCCCCATTCCCACCCTGTGGTGATTCGTGCGAGCGCCCTCGGACTGACCCCCCCCCCCCCCGTCCCCCCGGCAGGCGGACACTCGCGGACGGCACGCGTCCTGCTCAGCATGGTGGTGCCTGGCCACCTGGTGTTCACCTACAGCATCAGCTACTTCCGGGCGGGCCACACGTCCCTGACGCCGCTCTTCCTGGTGGTGTACAACTGCGCCGCCGTGCTCCAGGTCAGTGGCGGCCGCCGCCTTCAGACAGGAGCGCAGCGCTCGGCGGCGGCGGCGGCGGCCGGGGTGCGGTCAGGACTGCAGCAGCGTGAGAAAGCATACTTCGGTAAAGCAAGCGTAGACGGTGGCTGTTGCTTTGAAGGTTTTCCGTAGTGGGTGAATTCGGACGCCATAATAATTTCTGTTGCGGATGCGATTGGTCGGAGGTGTTTGTGACGGCATTCGACGACACGCTGGTTGGCGAGGCTTCGTAACGCCAGGGACGTCGCCAATAACTTAGACCAGCCGCAGGCGCGGAAAACATAGTGTAGCGTCCCGATTGCTGGCGCCCGGCGGGGCGCTCGACCGCCGCGATAAAGTCTGCACGAAGACCCTGAGCCGGGGCGCCGCCGCCGGCTGGGCGTCCACGCTCTGCTCTCGGAGTGTGTGAACGTCCCCCCCCCCCTCCCCGCCGCAGCTGTGGGAGTGGCGGCGAGACGTGTCCTGTCGCCTCGCGACAGGACAGGACGCGAACGGCCGGCGCCCCGTCCTCTGCGCCGCCCCCGCCGTGTCACGGTGGCCGCAAGCTCGGCTACCCGGGGCCTGTATACGCGGGGCCCGCTCTGCCTGGTGGCACCAAGTCCGTCGGTCCTGACGTCATATCCCCGGTCCGAGTTGGATTGGTGTGTGGGGGCCTCACGCGCTTTGAACGTCCGAGGTTCCCGACTGCATGCTTTACGTGCGGGAGCGTCTATTGCCAACTGGTCGATCTCTTCACCCTCGTCGTCTAGGTTGTGTTGATGACGATTGTTGCCGAGCGAGTGTGCTCCCCGTGGTCGCCGCTGATCCCCCCCCCCCCCCCTCCCCCCGGACAGGTGGTTGTCCTGCTGTACGTGGCGCACTGCATGATCCACTGGATGTGGAAGAACGGGGTGGACCCGGACAACTCGGCCATACCGTATCTCACAGCGGTACGTATTGCCGGCGCCGGTCTGTCGTGTCAGCGAGCTTCTTCCTGCCGCTCCCGGACACGGAGCGGTTAAACGAAACGGCCTCACACGGAGACCTGCGTCCGCTCGTATTGCCTGCCCTACGATGCCCTAGCGTGCTGGCGGCCCTGTGAAGACCGCCAATAACGCGGCAGATATTGATCCGGGAGATATTTGCAGTGCAGATTAGATTTCTTTCCGCTTTCTTTTGAGGCACGTGCCAACCCGTGTCGTGATGTGCCGTGCTGTGCCGTGCGCCAGCTGTGGCCGTCCACCTCGCATCGTGCTGTCTGCTGTTGACGGCCCACCCCGTGCTGTGCCGTGCCGATGACACCACGCGCTGAGCAGCCTCTGCCCGGCCCGCAGCTGGGTGACCTGATCGGCACCGGCCTGCTGGCGCTGGCCTTCCAGTTCCTCTTCATCATCGGCGACCGCGACTCGGACCTGGGCGACTGAGGCGGCGGCGCCGGGGTCCGGTCTGCCTGCCCGCCGACGCGCGCGGCCTGACGCGGCCAGCCGCACGAGCGGTGCGGTTCTTCCACTGGCGGTGGCAGGCACGCCCGCGGTGATGAGAGCCTACTCACGAGAGATTCACGACGGAACTTTCGCGTCGAGCGTGGCGGCAGGGTCCGCGATCTTACGGAGAGTGCGACGCGGCTCACTATTACTGCACCGCGTCCGTCTCTGTCTACGTGGCATTTTGGCATGTAGTCTGAAGTCTGCGGATGGCCTGATGTGGGACTGTCCTGGTTTGGGGGGTGGGGTGGGGTGTCCCGGGTGGAGGCTGTGCTTTTGATGGGGAGTGGATGGACGGGGCGGGTGGCGCTCCGGTGTTTTATTTCGGTGCGCTTCCGTACCTGTGGGGTCGTGTTTCCGTACGGAATGGGAAGACGCAGCTCTTCCACTTTACTAAAGAGCGAGAGTACTTAAGGCGGCCCACCGACACGACTGCGTTGCGGAGCTGGTCATTCATGAGCTTTATAGCCAAATGTGCGTGGCGTTTCACCCCAACCGGAGCTGGGCGGGTGTTGGCGTGGCGGCGGTCGTAGTATCGCGCGTCCGGTGGCCCCGCCCGATCCCGTCGGAGGGCAGGCACCGCCGCTGGGCATCATTCCGCGCTGCCGTCCCCTGTCGGGGCATCGGTAGGAACAAGCAGCGAGACTTTCAAACCGTCTGCGGTCATCCCCTGACTAGATTAGCGAGCATCACCGCCCACCATCACCGGCCGGCCCGGAGCGCAGCGGGCGGCCACCCTCGGCCTGGCGCGGAGGGCGGGCGGCGCCGGCCTGGCCGACGACGCCGCCGTCGCCCAGTCAGCGACGACTCAGAACCGCCGCCGAACGGAGACGGCGGCCGCGACGTCCGACAGACGACCGAATGCCGGTTAAACGAGATTAGTGCGGGCAGGCTCGCCACCATGTGCACTGCCGGCTCGAGGCATGCGAAAATGTGTATAGCGTGTGTCGGCCATCACCGCCGGGCTTTAAAGTGCCTTCTTAAGACAGCTTTTTACTTAGCTCCCTGGTCTCATTTTTCAGTAATCAAACAATCACGAGGCGCGGGTACGTTGGGCGTTTTGTTGCTTGGTTATTTATTGTTTGGCGTAGCTTTAGTTGAAACCTCTGTAAACGCGCACGTGTTCAGATATATCCTGTGACCTACGAAAAGGAACGTTTATACCCAGAGAATATAGAATTGACGGTGATTTGCTTGTTTCTATCGAACGTCATTTCATTTGACGAAACGCAGAGAAAGAACTAACTTTATTCGCGCAGACACGGTGATCGGCACGGCCAGCAAACAAAACATATCTCACGGCCTTGTCGCGGCTAGACGTGTTAGCTCGAACGACGTCCCGCACCAATGTCTCTATCAATATATCACAACATCAAGATAGTAATATCAAATATGATAACAATATCACGACCTTTTCAGGTATTTATCACAGCCATTTCGCGACTCCTGGCCGCTCGCATTTCTCGCGCCACATTTCTCGTGCGGCGCAAGACGATCACAACGTTTGCATCGCGCCAAAACAATCGGTGAACCTACACTGACTGGCATATCACAGACGGGTTACGTGCTGCACAATATGGTGTTGTCGGGCGGGTGCCGACGATCCTGCGGCCGCTGTCCCGGCTCCAGACGGCGCGTGCCGGCGGGGAGTCTGGACCCGGTGGTCCTGCGCCCGCCGCCCCGACTCCAAACGGCGAGTGGCGGCGGGGAGTCTGCAGCCGCCCCGGCTCCAGACGGCGCGTGGCGGCGGGAGCCCGGACCCGTTCCGTTGGCGGTCCGCCCCACTAGCCGGCCGTGACGCTGCGGCCCAGGCTGACATCCGCTGCCGGTCCGCCAGCCGACCGTCGGCAGTCGCTGGTGCCCCGCTGCAACCACGGACAGCGTCACAACAGACCAGCGTCACGTGCGACCAGCGCTACAGCACGGCCTGTGTCACATGCGGCCGCGTGCGAGACCACCAAACCTCCCCAGTACACACGGAGGCGAGCCCAGCGCCGTCGTTGGACCCCGGGAACGGGAGAAACGCCTCTCCGGGTGAGATGGGGGGCATGTTACTGCACCCGCGGCAGTGCTGGGCCACCTGGTCCTCGCCTGCCGAGCAGACCAGCCACCGGAAGCGGGCCGCGTCGGCCGGCGTCGGCGGAGTTGTCAGGGCCTCGTGACCGGCCGGGCTCCGGCGACCCCCGCCTGGCCCGGCACCGCCAGCAGCAAGGCGTATGGATCCGATCCGGCTGGCGTGTGTGTGTGTGGTCGATCGCGGAAATCGCGCCCCGTCGCCGACTGGCCGTCAAATTAGGCCCAGCGCCCGGGCCATTTCGTTAGTGGATAAATTCGAGAAGGGTGGGTGGTGGGCGAGGTGTCATCATCCTAAGACTGATTGGGTGGCAACTGAAAGGCACGACGCCGTGGCCACGTATTTTCTGATGCAGAATACGTTCATGGTTATAAATAACGATACATACAAGATACGTACACACATACAAGATACAAGCACGAGATAGATGTTCCCCGTATTCAAGTCGCCGGACATCAGGCAGCGCGGAGGTTGATTGTCTAGCTGCGGAGGTGCTGACTATGCATGCTGCTGAAATATTTACTGAACAAGGGCCAGCATAGGAGAGATGGAGTGCACATGTAGCAGAGATGGTGTGTCTGACATAGAGATAGTTCATGGGGCTAGTCGCGGGCATAGTTCAGGAATCAGACTCCAGTCGATATTTTCATTCGATGAATTGGACCAGCGACGCCGAAACGGAGGATGAGAACATTCCTGGCCGCTTCGCATCCTCACACGTCGGCGTAAACACGCACCATCAAAGCACCATCAAATCAACCGCGAGGGCCTGCCTCAGCTCTTCGGAGATCAAAGCGGATGCCCACGTAGGCGCAGACACCCACCCCATGGGCCGCGACGATCTCGGGCGCTGCGCGTGACACCGCACCTCAAACACACAGACGGCGTGCTACAGGCCGGAGCGGTCGCGAACTGCGCTGCTTACCGGTGCTGGCGACGGACGGGAGGGAGCAGTCGCAGCCCAGAGCTCTGGCGGACCGCCTCTCGGCGCCGACGAAGACGGGGCGCCGCCCACTGACCGCGCCGCCACCACAGTTGACGGGGCCGGGCGAGCCGGACGAGCCAACGGCGGGACGCGGTCGGCCACGACGACGAAAACGATGAGCGAACAGACGACGTTCCAACACCTGGTGGGTATGTCCGAGAACGGGGGGCGACGGCCAGCAGCACATGGGCCGCTGAGTTTATCAGAAAACGTGAACGACTCCTGTCGAGGAGCCCCCGTGCTTCACCCGGAGGGCACGTCGCTTCGAAAAGTCAAGCCTCGCGGTGGTCTCTCGTCACAGGTCCAGAGCCCGGGCACCTGTTGCCCGCCGCTCAGATTACAAACTTACTGACGGCGCACAGGGATTGGGAGTAACTGAAAGGCTTTCGACTTGAATATGTAACAAGACGGGCGACACACCTTATCTATTTTCCGCTATGATAATCTGCAATTTGACCTTAGCGCGAGCCTCTCGAGGCGGACAGGCGGTACTGGTGACTCCATTGAGACAGTTCATAGCGCCGCGGCCCAATGCAAAGCGTCAAACAGGAACTTCCTGCGTTTCTCAAAATCTCCTGGGACAGAAAAGCTGCTTTTTTAAATATCAAAACCGTCCGCTCGTCCTAGAAAAGACGGAAATCCAAAACTTGTTGGTTTTAAGCCCAATCAATTCGATACGTTTGCCAACTGTATGCATTAATTTTCCACACACTTATACATTTTAGTTATAGTGTATTGTAAGGTATTAATATGTCAAAGCCCATCAATGCTATAAAAGACGTCGGTATCAGATTTTTACAGACAGTACAGCAATGGATAATTCAATACATGTTATGCCAAAAAGAAGCCGGCACCAGGACCGGGGTCAGTCACGCCTGAACAGCGCTGACCGAGGAAGACGAGGACAGATGCTCGTCTGCGCTTACCAATGATATCCCACCTACTAGAGCGCCCAGCATCATCAGGTCGTGTACAAGGCATCACGCGTCACCCCAAAACTTCAGGTTCAGCTCACACCTCAGATCATCGGCCACGCGGCCGGCGGAGGGAGCCGTCTCCAGAAGTCTCTCAATCCCTATATACGCATTCCATGTCACATCACACCTCAGATCATCGGCCACGCAGCCGGCGGAGGGAGCCGTTTTCAGCAGTCTCTCGATCCCTATATCTGCACCCCATGTCACATCACACCTCAGATCATCGGCCACGCAGCCGGCGGAGGGAGCCGTTTTCAGCAGTCTCTCGACCCCTATATCTGCCACCCACCCCATTGTTCACATCACACCTCAGATCATCGCCCACGCAGCCGGCGGAGGGAGCCGTCTCCAGAAGTCTCTCAATCCCCATACATGCACCCCATGTCACATCACACCTCAGATCATCGGCCACGCAGCCGGCGGAGGGAGCCGTCTCCAGAAGTCTCTCAATCCCTACATATGCACCCCATGTCACATCGGGCCGACCGTATATCCCTGCAGAGTTGTCACGGGGTGTCTCCGAAATAATGTCGTCACGGGGTGTCTCCGAAATAATGGGTTTACCTACGCTGGACAAAACAGACGTCCACCTGTACGGCTGCGCACGTCAAACGCATCAACGAAGCATGCGTTTAAGCAAGTGTTTTGTGATCGCTTGCGACAAATATAACATTTAATTGCGGATCAAATGTTTCGCTCACATGGAGACAATGCAATCCTACTGAGATGGAAGTTGACCGATGCGTCCAAGACCAGTTGCACGCGGGGAAAACCGTCCGAGACACGCTTTGCTGGTACACGAAGCAAGGGAAATCGGTCAAACCTGTCCCATGCCTGGCTGTAACGACTCATTCACTGCAAGCAGATGTCATTGCAGTCTGTCGGGAACCACTTAATACACACAAGGTTCACCCCCAAAGATCATTCCGGAATGCGCGGCTTTCTTCGAGGCAGGGGAGGGCAGCGAAAGCCGTCACACAGGTGGCCTGGACTGGAGCTGACATGACAACGGCCCTTGCCAGGACGTAGGAAGCATATCAGAACAGGCCGGCAGCAGAGCAGGTTTGACGTGGCTGCTGCGGTCTACACTGCACCAGAGGAGCGCAAGCGGAGCCGGCTGCCCGTGTCGTATGAACGACACAGCAGAGCATCGGGAAGGTCGACAGGGAGAGCTCGCCGGGGACGGCATACCACACCCCGCTAGGGGCACCACAGACAGGCTGACCCCAGACTGCGTGACCCCACATGCTGACCCGAAGCCCACAACACACGGGACGTTTCCAGACGCCCATTGCAGAGCGGACGCGCCCTCGGCCACCGCCGTCAGCGCCTCACCAGTCGGGTCAGGCGTCACCGTACTGGTCGTCGATGCCTTACCGGTCACCAGTGCCGCCAGGAGCTCTTGCCGGCTGTCGGCGCTGGCGCGCTTCCGGAGCGATGCCGCCCGCAGGTGGACTCCTGTTCCTCGCCTCCGCATGGACTCCTTCTCTTCGGCATCTCACAGAGTCCTGCTCGTCGGCCGGACCCCGGGTCCGACGACACGTGCCCCGCGAGGACGGCCATAGACAGCGCCGCCTCGCGACGACTGGGACTCGCCCCTCGTGGCCGCAGAGCCCGCACCGGCCGAGCTCCACGCTGTCCGGTGCGCGACCGGGGAGACACGGCCGCACCACTGCCCGGTCGTCCCAGCAACATCACCACACGGCGGTCGTTCCGAACGCCGAGCAAATTGACAGGTCGGAGGCAAGACGGACACCGCGGGCGAGGAACGACTCCGTCTCACTGAACGGCCTTTGCGTCAGTGAAAAGCAGACTTGACCCAAGAGTACGACCCACAGCACCGCCCAGCGCCGTCACCCTGGGCCCCTGCCGCGCTGGAAGCCGCACAACATCTTCCTCCCGTCACAAGGCATGTCCTCACCAACATGACAGCTCATTGGCCGCGCATCCGGTAACAGATGCTGTCTGGGAGCAGCTGACGCGCCACCCGACGTGCGGAACGCACCCCAACAGCCCCGTTGGGCACAGACGGACGACGCGTATCTAGAGCCCACTCCAAAAACTGCTCTGTTTGACACCTGCCAGTTGGCGAAATCCGGTTCCCGACACCCGCCAGCTGGCGGAGTCCGGTTCCCGACACCCGCCAGCTGGAGGAATCCGGCTCCTGACGTCGCGCACGGCGTGACGTCTGAACCACTGACTGACAGCCGCCCAGATCGCCCGCCCAGAGTGACTTGGCGCGGCGGCACTGCTACCCCGGCAGTCGGTCGACCGTGACGTCACGCCGTCGTGGCGGCTCCTGGCACTGCGTTGTTCCGTTCCCTTTAAATCTGCATTTTATGAAAGACTCACGTGTTATTATACTAAATGTTACAAGTCACTTGAAAAATCGCATGTGCCCTCATATGTAGGTAGAAAGATTGTCCACCAACACAACACCAACCGTTACAAACCACCAGTCTGTTCACACAGGCAAGCGGTAGGGATGGTATTTGACGCGCCTAGTCCTGATCGGCTTGGTTGGTTGGTAGGTTATTTGGACTTTAGGGAACAAGACTGCTTGGCTTGTACAATCCGAAGACAGCTGTCGTGCACCAGTCGTGCGGTGGCCGCGCTACTGAGCAGCATCGCAGGACACTCGGGCCCGGTACATTGGCGCGACCGATAGCGTGGCGGAGCGGTACGGAAGCCAGGATCACTCCCGAGAAGTCTGAGCCGGAGTGGGAATGGCCTCAGCCCACCGCGGCGTCTGGTGAGCGTCATCGACCCACCGCGTCATGCTCGGGTCGACATCGCCTGGTTGATTCGAATTACGGTTAGCGGGCTCAGTAGATCAACCGGAGGGTCAATTGCTTTTATGAGGACATGAATGTGAGGCAGTAAACCTGTTCAACTGGTTCGAAGCGCTTCTCGATGATTGCCGCCCAAAATGTGATATTTCCGACCGCCCGTGCAGACGATGTCGTGGCGTCACCGTCAGTGGTCTTGTCGGAATCAGGCGGCGGAGTATCACGTATAACTTTAGTCACACTGCCAATGCGGCCACCAGTAAGGTCAGGTCACATCTTGTTGGACACGACGGGAGTGCTCAGGGGAAAAGGGAGGCCCCAGCCGCTGCGCCCAGCCATCCCCGGACGTCTCGAAGCAGATATTCCGTAGCAGTATGCCACAAGCCCGACGACACACGGCAGAGGCGAGTCGCGCCGCAGTGACCGTCTCGTTCCTATCGGCAGTCTGCGGTATGAATCCGCCGCCGTGGGTCGTTCCCCGACCGCGCAGAGGTCACAAAACGACGAGCATCCGTTCTGGGGCGGCGACAACAACGCCGACCGAGCGGCGGGCATCGGTGGCATCGGAGCTCACCCGTCGCGTCTTCACACCATGCACCACAGCGCGGTCACCGAGCAGCGCGCTGCACGGATGTGCGGTCGGGGCGTAGGTGACCTGCGTGAGTTAGTCGAGAGCGCAAAGCTTTTCTCAGGGAGCGCATACTGCTTCGTAAATGCTGTATTTGAGGACGCCGTCCACAAGCAGACTTCCACGGCATTCAAATGCCATTCTCAGCCCCGCCAAGACCAATCAGAGGCTTCCCATCGTAATAAGCCCAGTCAGCATTTGTGGAGTTGATTTTCCATGCAGCTAGAGTGGACCCCAATAACGACAGTAAACCTTCCAAGAAAATGCTCCATCCTACTTATCTGCTATGGAGACGACCGCTCACTATCACACAGGACGTTGCACCATTCATCAGTCGCTCAGCTTATTCCAACGGCGGTAGCTGACTGAGTGGACAGTGAGCGTGCGGTGGCATTCAGTGCTCGCGACCAATAAAATAACGTCAGTATTCACGTAGCAACAGTGAAACCAGAGGATTGCTGTGTCGTTCGTCGTCGCTTCGCGCAGGGTTATTTGAGTCAGGAACGGAATGAGATCTTGCCGGCAGACGATCACAGCCTGAAACTGCCCGCCTTACACTCCAATGGCAACCAACAGAGTCGCCGAGTCCACATCCCCTCCGGACCTTCCAGCCAGGCACCACCTCAGACCTCACACACACATGGACGGCGTTACAGGTGTTTATTTCTGTGTTGCAGCGCTAAATGGGCGGGACAGGCATTGATGAATGAACGGAGCGGCCGGCCAAGCTCAGCAAGCGGTGAGGCGGCGGCCCTGATGGCCGGCCAGACTCTGGCGGCCGTCGTCTGCCGCCGCCGCTGGCACACCCGGCTCTCTTGACTCCGGTTACTGAACAGCTCGAACCACGATGACCAAACACATACACACAGACCGAGCGGTGCTGCCGAGGCGGCAGCCGTCGGCTGCGGCGCAGACCGGCCCGACTCTGTCCCGAACCAGGCTCGCCGCGCCGCCGACCGAGCCTTTGTACAGCGCCGAGAGCGTGTCCCGAGGTCAGGGACCGGGCCCGACACGCCGCCCGAGGAGGCGGCGGCGTCCGCAGTCAGCCCCGTCCCGCCGGCCGGCCGCGTTCGCCGACCGCGCCCCGCCGCCGGCGTGACTCCGCTCGGCCGGGCGCCGGCGCCGCTCAGTACGAGCGCACGTCCAGCATGCGGCCGTCGCAGCGGGCGCCGTCCATCAGGCTGATGGCGCGCTGCGCCTCGTGAGGGCTCGAGAAGCGCACCACGCCCACGCCCTTACCCTTCATGTCGGCGAAGCGCACCTCGCCGATGTCGCGGAACTGGTCGCGCAGCATCTGCCACGTGAAGCCCGGGTCCAGCTGTGGAACAGACACACACGGGCGGCCCGGTCAGAGCGGCGGCAGCGCCACGCTCCGGCGCGCGCCCGGCTCGGCACCTGGGGAGGGCGGTTAGAGACCACGGAGGCGAGCGGAGGAGTCGCCTTCCGCAGAAGCCGCCGCAGCCGGAGAGAGCAGAGCACGGCCGAGTCGGACACAGTGGCGGTCATGCGACGCAATCGGGAAGACACGATGGCGCGTCGGACGGTGCTCTTTGGATTCCAGGACACGGACCAGTGGACTTCCAGTGTTATCCAAACATCTGACAGCAGTATGCCTTCCCACCGTGCACGAATACGGGTAACTGACTGAAGTGCAGGGAGTACATCAGCCAGTGCCGAGCGAACGGCGCCCCCGGTCAGGCGTTGTCGGACGTTGTCAGAGAGCGGAATCAGAGGCAGAGCCGAATGTCGTGGGGTGACCAGTGAAGGGAACGTGACCATGGTTGGCCGATCAGTGATTTTCTGAGGCCCGGTCAGTATTCGAAGCAGTGACTAACACGAAATATTAGGAGCATTTGGCTGGCTTAGCCTGTGACCGCCGGGGCAATCAAAGGAGAACATGCTAATTCGTTCACTTACTTAGTCTTCTAACACCCGCTAACATCACACTCTTATATAAAGGTCACTCTTATAGAAAACAACAAGAATAGCTGCCCCAACAATTCATTTGACCTCCCTTCAGCAGACATATGGGCGGCTCTTTCACGATCATCTCGTTCCTCAAATGTCAAAACAGTGTCTTCGCACGTCAAATGTCCTAGCCTCTACCCGGCGGCTGGGAGCTTCTGAACGACTGCTGCTCAGTGAAGAAATAGACGAAGCCTGCGGCCCACACGGTCCCAGCGTCCGAGTCATCGGTGCGTACATGAAGCAGCTATGTCGCACGATACCCCATGTAAACTTCCTCGACTCTAGCCAATCATCGCTTGTCGGTGGCCGGACGCAAATGATATTTGGGTGCGTACGAAGCGCAGCGTACGGAACGAAAACAAGTAATGGCACTAGCCGCCTGTCGCCCTGCCGTCATAGCGGAACGGTTGTCTGCCCAGCCAGCCCTACATCTAAAGCCTCACTGACCGTTTCAAGCATGTGAGTCCTGATTCAGGATTGCACAGAGGCAGGCGCCATTCACGTGGATCGGCAGTGAGCATTCGCCGGGGTAAATCATACATTTTCCTTGGCGAGCGGCATCGTTCAACGTCACTGACTGGCACGTCCCCGATCTGTCACCCTCTGCTATCTTTCTCTCCGCGATTGGCGATCAAAATCGATTACAGAGACTTGATGTGGAGAATATGGACTGTTGCAGTGGCGCGGCTCGCACCGGCTCAGCCCGCGGTGCCTGCGGTCAGGTGTTGGAGGGCGGCGGCTGGCGCATGAGAAAAACTACAACAGCGGAAGGAAAGAGAACAATGCCACATCATTTTTACACAAAACACGTCACCGTACTGGGTGGGAAGAGGTTCAATATGTACAAGGAATTTCGGAGTAAGTCGAAAGCGCGGTATGACCAATGTTCACGTGGAGACCGTTTTTCTGGAAGCCTGAAGATCCAACACAGACAATAGATACTTTTGCCGGCCTTTTCCAGACAAGTAAGTTGTAGCAGTCGCTGCCCTGTCCAGATAAGAATAAATGCCTGTTCGAAAAAGAACGTAACGTAAACACGTTATTAAACGCCAAAACTTACCGGGGAACAATTTATTTCTTGGTTATTTCTGAGGATCTTCGTTCCAAAATCTCCTCCCTTTGTACGATCCTCCTTCCTATCCAGATGGAGGGAGGAAAGTCATCAAGTCACCGCGGAAGTAATCGCCACTGTCAACATCCTCACTGGCGGGGACGTTGACAGTGACAGTTGGCTGCAGGTCATGGATACGTTATTTGTTGATGTCCTGTGTGGTCGTCACAGCAGCCGCGTGCTGCAGATGAGCCCCAGCAGTCGGTTAGCCTTTTGAGCTGGTAAGTCGACGTGAGTTGAACAAAACAAGAGTCCGGTCAATATCCAAAGGTGACAAGTATCTACGCGGCAATCTAAAACGGCCCGATCAGCGAGCAGGAGACAGCACTGCGTGAATGCTGCTCACCACCAACGGTTTCGTGCATTTTCTGGGAAAACCTGGGAACACACATTTCACGCATGTGGCAAAACAAACAGATGAATTTCCCGCCTGTAAAATGCGAACCTTTGCAAATGTATGAGCGACTCGACACCTGATGATGTGCTGACGATGTTTGCCTTGTCTGTGCCTCTGCAGCCACCCAGAATTCTCCTTCCGTTTGTCTTCGGGAACATGGCTGTCGCTGTAGTGGACACAGTCCTCGGAGGACTATCTTGTCAGGCATTTCGGTCATCAGCACCCTAGAGGTTTGCAGGACCATTGATTTTTACATATTGTCCTTCCTCTCGCGAAAACATCGTTCGCTGTTTATAGTGGTGAACGGGTAGGTACCTGATTGATGTGTTTAGCCTCAAAAGCCCTCTATTTCATGCGACTGTGGTCAAGTGCTTGGACATCATGGTCACTTATCGGTAACTGAAGTTACCGTGTGATGATACTGCTCATATATTTACAATTCTTAACTTATTGGATGTAGCTGACCACCTGCGAATTTGGTAACCTGCCACTAGTTGGGTCAATGAGCATAGCGATGTGACCTGGCCGAACGTGTCAACAGTGGCCCAGTGGACGGGGGTGTCACCAGTGGCACAGTGGACGGGGTCTGTCGACAGTTGCCCGGTGGGCGGGCCTGCCAACAGTGGTCCAGTGGACGGGGCCTGTCAACAGCGGCCCAGTGGGCGGAGCCTGTCAGGAGGGACGGGAGGTGCAGTGGGCTCAGTTTGCGAAAGCGAAGGTCGGCCCGTGTCATGTGCTTTGAGCCTGTCGGAAAGGATGTACGCCACCGTACCAGAGATCTATGACAAGTACAAAGACACACCGTCACGATAGATTGTCAGTGAGCATTTAAACACACGGGCAAGGTCAGACATCCGTCTGCTATGACATCCACGCCATAACCAATATGCACCGCCTTATCTTGCTCCCTTGCAGTGCCTGTTCTCAGCAGTGTGCCCCGACCGTCAGCGGTGAGCCGGTCTCAGCGACCGCCACGTTTGGCTGCTCCGGCCGGGGAGCCGCACATACGTAGCTCGGGCCCTTCGTGCAACGTAATGCTCAGTGTCGGTCACCCAGGAATGCCACAGCACTACCCCAGCTGCTATCTCCCTACCCAGGACTGCCACAAACACTACCCCAGCTGCTATCTCCCTACCCAGGACTGTCACGGCACTACCCCAGCTGCTATCTCCCTACCCAGGACTGTCACGGCACTACCACAGCTACCATCTCTCTCTCCTTACAGGGAGCGTTCCACATCCGTGTGGAGTTTTGAACTGAAATAGCCATCTCGAATAGCATTCAGTATAGCTCGCAAACCCCGCCCTTCTTGAGACCTAACCCTTCTAGTTTTTTAGCTTCTCGGAGCGAAGATGTGTGCATTATTTAGCGGAGACTATTTTAAGAGTACACAGACATCCATGACGCTATAATAGCATTTATTGCCGTTCATCATAGCATTTATTGCTTTAATCCAAGTGGTGTAAAATTCGTTGGTTTTGCTCCAGCTTTGCATATGCGGCAATATAATAGGCGCGGGAAAGTATCATGCTATGGCAGTGGAGGGTTTCGAGGTTCAAACCCTCCCCACCAAAGAGGGAAATCTAGTGTCGAGCTTTATGGCTGTGAATGGCAAGGAGTGGTTCAAAATGCCTTTCAGGGCCCCTCCAATCCTGGACAAACTCCTATGCTCCTGGACAACATAACCAATATTTGTGTGATAACGTCGCTTAACTCGCACCTTCTGCTATACGAGGGGTCAGTCATATCAGCAGAAGAACTCCAAATTCACAATGCTGAAAAACCAGGAGCTTTAGGCGTGTTTTTGCCACCAGTACGCTCTGATTTTTTATTAGCGAAATGACGCAATTGGGTGCTTTCATGTTATGCTTGTGTTGGGGCACGTAGAATAGTGCTTGCAATGCAAGTAACGCTGAAGTAATGACATTCCCTTTGTTGTAAACAATATTTCTCAGCTCCTTTCGCGAAGGAGGAACGTTCCGATGTTATCATTTACCGATTTTACCTTTTACCGATACCGATTTCATACTTGTATTTAATCACTGGTATAGGCAAGGTCAGTCAGGCTGCTTGTTCACCCATTCCACTTGCCCTCGACACCCTAAATCAACACATCCCAGTAAGATTCCAGTATTGACATCACATTTTCAATCAGTTGTCTAACATTGACTCCGGTTAAGACGAGTCATGTCTCCGCGTCCACCTGTTAGTGACGCGTGTATGGATTGGTAACGCCTCTACAACTGGAATCACGAGCATGCGATCGGAATTATAAGGATATTTCGGGATATCTCAAACAAAACGCGTCGGCGGTTGCCAAGTGAACCGAATCCAGTGGGATGTCAGCGACGTCACCAATGGCGGTTTGAAATAATGTTTCCAGAACTTTCAAACAAAATAGCTGCAGGTCATAACTTCCCAGGATTTTCGTCCACCGACAGACCGTCCAAGTGGAGGACAAAGACTGCGATGAATTAAACCGACAGAGGGTACAATTAGAACAGACAACATAAAAACGCCCTGCAACGTTATTATGATCATGGACACCTGGTTAAAACGCATCCAGGCCGCTCTTCTAAACGTATAGTTTGTATTTCGGTTGGTTTATATACAGAAAGCGCAGATAATAGCACTTTGATTGGTGTGATTGTGACAGACCAACGCCGGATGAAGCATGGCTGGTAGCGTAAAGTTGGACCACTCCAATACCTCATGGGGTTTCGTACCATCTGACGAAGCCCGAAAACACAAAATTTTCGGGCGGATTGCGGAAACGATCGGCTGATATTGGGCACAGCACCGACACCGCGTGGTTGTAGTTATACCTCACAGTGTTTTCCCAAGGGCTTATGACGCTGCCGCCAGGACGAGACGGGCCACGGGGCTGCGGCATCCGCCCCTGATGTCAGTGGAAAGCGTCTCAGGTCTGCGTAACCCATACAGCACCTCTTCGTTCGGGCCCGACAGCTGCTGCTTGGACAGACACGGAAGAGACGACCCAGCCTCGGGAGAGGATCAATAGGCAAAGGCTGGCAGTGCGGCCATGCTGGAGCTTCCTACACTACCGGCTGAAGCACGCCGCGATAGGGAAGAGGAGCTCGCGATCGTACCGCGATAACAAAGATACGAAGCTTGTCGAACCGTATGATGGAAACCTGTGCGTGACGGGACATACAACCCGTCATGATGGGGAACAGAAGTTTGTCGAGACGTCAGACCGCAACCCATCATCCTACACGACAGCAGATCGTCAACCGTGGGATGGAAGCTTGTGTCACATGACAAGTCAGCACGCGACACTTGGACCTCATCCAGTTTAAATGACAGTGGCGCGTCCTGCTAGCCCAAACGCTGATGAAACGGGCAAATGCGACACATTTGGACGCCGTTTGGTCGCTCACGCCCCACTGAGCCGTTTTCGATTCAGCGTCACGTAGGCTTACGGAGCGAAAATGCGGACCTTCGAACCTACAAACTTGGAATGGATACCGGCTTCCCTTGAAGACACATCGCCTCTGGACACGAATGAAGGTTCGTTGCACGAAGGCGATGCCGCAGAATGTCCGAAATCCTTCCGAACACCGGAAAGTCAGGGTCATGACCCGGCGCGCACCAAGCACTTCCGCAGTAATTACCAAAGAAGGACATCATGCGACGGAGTTGGGGCCTGTCTCAGTCAGACCACGGCAGCAATGCGAGACCGCGGCGGCTGCCGATCTGCTACTCACGTTGCTGACGATGATGGAGTCGGAGAAGGATCTGGCGGAGCCGTTGTAGTCCGCGCCGGAGTTCATAGACGCGCCGTACCCGCCTCCTCCGCCGCCGCCGTACGAGCCGCGACCAACACGCCCGGGCTCGACGCCGGGCCGACCTTGGTCGAGGCCGCCGCGGCCGCCCAGGCGCGACTCGTCCAGGCCGCCGCCCAAGCCGTCGCCGCGCAGGCCGCCTCAGACCGCCGAAACCACCGCCGCCGCCGCTGCCGCCGCCGCCGGACGGCAGCCCGCCGCCCAGCTGAGCGAGCGCCGGTGATGACAGCTGGCTGAGGCCGCCAGCGCCGGCCAGCGAGGTGAGCGCGCCCGCGCCGGCCAGCGTCGAGAGGCCACCCGCCGCACCCAGCTGGCCCAGCGCGCCCAGACCGACGCCGGCGCCGCCCGCCGACACGCCCACGCCCGGGACGCCCACCGGGAACCCTGCGGTCGGACAGCGGCCGTCAGACGCTGGCTCGGCACGCGCCAGGCCGGTGACGGCAGATCACGTGTCACCCGGACGCCGACAGTCACGAGCGCAGGCGCAGGCGGGCCTGCCGCGTGCACCCGGTACGCACCTCATCACTTCACGTTAAGTTCTACGCACACACACACGTGACTCCGCGGCCCTGACGACCTTCGCCCGGTCCACTGACGTCAATGTCTGGCCTGGAGAGGGCCCCGCCAAGCGTCACTTTTGACACGGACGGCACTGCTGACGTCGCTGCTGGTCCCCTGCATCCCTGGTCGCATATCATGTCTCGTAGAAGCACAGCGCGCGTGCATCGCCGATGACCGGACATTGGTGATGGCGGTCCAGCGGCGCGTAGCTGCGCCCGACTGACCTGCGGCGGCGGCGCCAGGCGCGGCGCCCATCAGGCCGAGCGCGGCAGCACCGTTGGCTCCCGCCAGGTTGGCCGTCAGCCCGCCCAGCTGCGCAGCAGCCACGCCGGCGGCCGGTGCCGCGGCCGCCGTCGGCGGAGACTCCGCTGGCAGAGCGAACATGACGTCAGTGGGCGGAGTACGGACATCTTCGGACACACGACACACGCCGGCAGCACACAGCGGACGCGGCCTCATCAGTGGGCGGTTTGTGACCACGTGTCACAACCCGCAAGGCTCGAAGGCAAGGCAAGGCTAGGCAAGGCTCGATCAAATCTGCTAACCGAACCCAAGACTACTCGCACCGTCGCACTCGGTGGTGGCAGCGCGACACCTCGCGCCGGCGCAAAATGACATGATTGTCGATTGGGGTGTGGAGGAAGCGCCGAACATCAAAGGGTCATTTTGCGTGGCATAAACCACGCACGCGCTTCGCAGTCGATCGGCGCCAGCCCCTCCCACCAGCTAACTGCGGGACCGGGAGCGGCCACAACAGGGCTACAACAGCAAGACGCATACCAGGCTCCGTCAATCATTGGGGGTTTAGGGTGCTTCCACTGCTATGATCACTGGAAGCCCGCACGTACCGAGCTTGGAGGCGACATCGGCCAACGGTTTGCCGTTGGAGCCGAGCCCGAGGCCGAGGCCCTTCAGGCCGGGCGGTAGCACCGGGCCCGAGTCACGCTCCTTGCGGTCCGTCACGCGGTCCATGCGCACGCTGCAACGGCGGCCGACCGGTCAAGGGACTGCCACTAGCGGCGGGCTGACGGCGGCGGCAGCGGCACGTTCCAGACACGGCCCCCGGCACGCACGGCCGGGTCGTCACCACTGCACGGCCGAGAGCGCATTCAAAGGCACTCGCTGAAGACACGAACCACACGACACATCCGTGATAGCTGATGGCATGGCATGGGTTATCATAGCAGGGCTATTGTCGGAGAATTGCGGGCTGCATCTGACCTGATGACCCTGTCCATGTACATCTGGTTGTTCAGCATGGAGATGGCCTGCACGGCCTCCACCGGGTGGTCGAACTCCACCACGCCGTGGCCCTTGCTGTTGCCCTCCCGGTCCTTGTTGATCGACACCGAGACGACCTTGCCCGCCAGACTGAACACCTCCTTCAGCTGCTTCTCGTCCACCTTGTAGATCAGCTGTAATGAAACCAAACAAAAATCAATGGACATCACACAACTTTCAACAACACAGCACTGTGGCTGCATGACAACACGGCGCCTTCCGTGCACAGCTCTTCGTGCGCTATCAATAGGGCCCTTATATCGCCCTTACGCCGCATGCAACGCCTACAAATGCTGACTTTTCAGAACAGTCAGCTGTGCTGATCAGTGTTTAACCATATCAGTGGATTATTCGACATAGCAGACTGGCGCTGAAATGGCCATCCCGGACTCACGTTGGCCACAAAGACGCGGTTGACCAGTGGACTCTCGATGCCGAGGCTCTCCAGGAAGCTGACGTTGAGGCCGTACGTGTTGGTGTACTTGGCCTCTGGCGGCCCGGGCGGCCCGGGCGGCCCGGGTGGTCCGGGCGGTCCGGGCAGACCGGGCGGCCCGGCTGGGCCGGGGCCGGGGCCGCCGCCGTCGCCCATGTAGCCGCCGCGGCGGCCATCGCGGCCCGCCATGTCGCCGCGCGGCGGGCCGCCGTGGCCGCCGCCGCCCACGCCGATCTCGCCGTGCGGCACGCCGTCGCGCATGATCCGGCCGTACCGGTCCCGCTCCACGCCGAAGTCCTGCCAGCGGCGGCGGCGGGCGTCAGCCGGCGGCCCGTGTCGCGCTGCGGCCGAGCACCGGCCGCAGCCGAGGCCCAGACGCCACCACAGCACCCGCACATGACCTCGGACTCACGGGCCGCGGCTTACGGGTCATCGAGAGAGCAACCGACATGCCCAGGTGCGCACAGGGATCTGCAGGTGAGGAGGCGAAACCACGTGCACCAAGCTACCCCAGCCCATAGGACACACCGAGACCGCACCACAGCCGCCGCGTCCCCCGCCGAGCAGCGGCCGCGCCGTCCCGAGCCTGCTCACCGCCGAGGCGCCAGTCGACTGGCCCGGCTGGCCGCCAAACCCCACCTCCTTGACGACGAGCTTGCGGCCGTGCAGGTCGTAGCGGTGCATCTTCTCCAGCGCCAAGTCCACTAAGTCGTCCGACTCGAACTCGATGATGCCGCAGCCGCGCGACTTGCCCGTGTCGTCGGCGAACACCTCCACGAAGGAGACCTCGCCGACTGCGGCACACGGCGCGCTCGTGAACAGCGGCACGCAAAGGTCGCCGATACGACGTCATGCTTTATTGGCGAAGCAAACTTGATGTCGCCATGAACTTGGTTAATAAACAGGTTGATGTCGCCATTAACTTGTCCTAACTGGAGCACCACCTGTGCAAACCCCAAACAAAGGTTGCAAGTCGGACAGATGATGGACAAGCTTTTCTGGAAGAGATAATGCATATAGATGGATTGCAAAACGATATCAGCACTTGGCCAAGTATCATAAATGATAAAGCACAGGCAGCACCAGCTCACAATGGGAGACCACACAACCAAGCAGTATCAATAAATCTTACCCTCGTGACGGAAAAGGTCTTTGAGTTCCTGCCATTTGTAGTCAAATGGAATGTTGGAGACATAGACGCGACGCTCAGGTCGGCCACGCCTGTAGTAGAGGTATTATGTAAAGCCAACTAACAAGGCAACATACACATCAATCTACAGCATGCTACAATGGACAAATCTGTCATTCACACATCATTCCTGTTTTCGCCGAAGCAGAAACAAAAACAAACAAAACAATGACTTCATTGTGCTACATCCACCAAACGCTGGACACATCTTCCAAGTTAAGCATCAGCCACCACAAATACACAACCATTAACCCCCAGTTCTCTCCAGGCCGGCCGGTGCCGCGTCCGCCCGGTGACATGTGGGCCGCGGCGCGTACCTGGCGGAGCCAGCGGCGGGCCGGTCGCGGGGCGGCCCGGGCCGGTCCCGGTCCCGCTCGTCCGGGAAGCGCCGCGGCGGCCGCTCCCGGTCACCGCGCATCCGGCTCGGGTCCATGCTGCGGTCACCGCGCATCGGTGACCTGGCGGCAGCGCACGTGGTCAGCCACCAGCCAGCTACAAGGCGAGTGTGTTGGACACCACTGCGCGATGCGGCGCGTCAGACGACGCTGGGTGTGAGAGTCGCGAGCGATGGCACACGCCGCCATGCGGCGTGTCAGACGACACCGGATGTGAGAGTCGCGGGCGATGGCACACACCGCCATGCAGCGTGTCAGACGACACCGGGTGTGAGAGTCGCGAGCGATGGCACACACTGCCATGCGGCGCGTCAGACGACACCGGGTGTGAGAGTCGCGAGCGATGGCACACACCATCACATCACAGATGATATGATAAATGAATGCAATCACCTTCTCTTCAACAATAACATAAGTGATTAATCTAGCTGGACATATCAGCTTAGAACTAGACAGATGTCACTCTGCCATCCTGCCAATGAAAATGATTAATTCATTTGGACCTGAGCTTGGGACCAGACAGATATTATCTTGCCATCTTAATGTTCATTAGGTACAGTGCTGGACATCTAGTTCCAAAACTGTCACATCTTGTGGGCCCTGGTCCCCAAAACCATATTTGGTGTATGCATCACTACAGATAGTCAACTTGCAGCTGGGCAGGCTGGCAGGAGCATGTGTAAAAGTTTTGTGTTGCACAACAAAATCCTTAATTCCACCTGGACAATGGGCATGACAAAAAGATTTTCTGCCAGCTGGTACACTTGCTGGAGTAGCAAGTTATGCCAAATTCACAGTTCACTAAGGACAGCAAGCATTTGCATGCCAAATTCACCTGAATAGCCAGGCTATGGTCTTTGCAAAGACAATCAGCCATACCCAAAGCAATCACCACCAAACATTTCATGTAAAATGTTTCCAAAGTATATAGCAAAAAGCCCATCGCTAGTCTGTGCACACAGACTCAAGACAGCAAATAAGATGCCACTAGAAGCACTGGTGTCTCCCCAGCTGGAGTCACCAATGTTACAGAAGCAGACCAGGAGCCAGGCCACTGCATTCTCTTTACTTTGGGTAGTGAGGATAGAACCTATAATAAAGTGGACACCTGTCTGTTTTGCTTAGACTTGAGACATTAAGAAAGCCCTGGTTCTAAGGCAACCTAGGAGACCATGGAAGAAATGTTGCAGAAGTGCTGAGATAGGTGCATCTACAGGCTGTGCACAAGTCTTGTCATCACTGGGACTTCAAAATGCACTCTGCAGCTATGGCTTTATGACATTGCCTGCCTCTCACCCTGGCAGGAAGGGAGACCTCTGGTTTCCCAGGTCTGTGGTGGTTAACTGTGCACATATCTGCAAGTGCATTTATTCACATGCCAGATTCACCCCAATAGCCAGTCAGCAGAGTTTTCTTTTCCTCTAATAGCATGTCATCATGCAATATCACTGTTGTGTAGGTATTATGCTGTATATATGCGGTCAGCACTATGCATGTGGAGGATGTGGAAAGCTTGATACCATCTTGAAAACTTGAGTGCAAAACCCAAACCAACCCATGTATGAAACTGCTATCAATTCTAAACTATGACCAATTTCTGTGCAATATTTTCACTCAAAAACTTACAACACCAAGCATATCAAAAGTTGCATGGAATATGGAATCAAATCAATGAGCTGATATTAAAGTGAATTTGTCAAATTTGAAAAGAAAATGATTAAAGAATGATTATGATTTATTACGACCTGCATCAACATGTTTGCACCTTTACAAGCATTGTGCATCAGTTGGAATCTGATCTATAACTTTGTGTATCACTTGAGCAACCTGGCTGGGTATAAAGGTAACAGAAAACATCATACATCATTATCATATGACTTGGTGTGATGAAAAATAAGCTATGTGCATCATTAAATGTCTGGCAATTGCAATGATACTGAAATTGGATGGTTTGCAAACTGGATTCAGTTATACGTCTTCAAAATGTGATGCCTATGCTCAGAACACAATACCACTGCATAACAAAATGTTATTTGGATGGATCTGGTTCCCCATCAAACCCATGGAAGCCAACACTCCCCTCACCCAGTCATCAGATTGGACACTCCAAAGTGAACCTGTTTGTTCCATTTAGGACCTGAACAAAAATGCCAAAGCACCTGTCATCCATCAAATTTAACAGACCAGCCTAATGCATCTGAAGCCAGTAAAAATGCAGACAGTATCCACATTTTATTCGCTCTAGACCGGTTAAGTATGCAGCTACACCTTTGATTGAAATATCGCTAACTATTAAACAATTTTGTAAATGGGACCGTTCCCTACATTGGTAACAAAACAGGTCAGGGTCACTACACTTCACAATTGTTCACTATGTAGCAGCTCTCTCACCTGTCTCTTCGACCATTCATGTTGAGATGGTTGTATGATATCATTGCTGCCTCAAAAACGCCGGTTGTGACACGATTCCAAAAATGCGGGTAATCAGCGTCCCGATGTCAGTGACATGCAGATAAGACGAAACAAGTGTCCGGTACCCGTAGAGTGAATCTTTCGAAGTGTAGTGGCTATATTTTTCACGTGGGATGCGCTTCAGCTGCTTTGGTGCCACTGAATTCGTCTCTAAAAACCGAAATTGCGCGAGCCACAACCACCAAGCAAATCGACCGAGCACGAAGGACCGAGTTCCAATAGCGTCGCGTGTGCTTCCGCTTGGACCAAGAACACCGGCGTCGCATTTGTCGACCAACGTTTTAAAATGGCGTCATTGCGTTGTACTAACGCAGCGTTTTTAACACTTCAGCGGAGTTAGTTCCTCAACCTGTTACTTTTGACTGCAAAAAAACATATTTTTACAGAAGGATAATCAGTCCAAGGGTTGTTGAACGTTTTGTTTTCTTCATCATTCCGTACGACAGCTTTTTTGTCCGTGTGCGACAAGACCAAGTAACAGCCACTAGTTTTGTGATCCATCACTATCATCTCCAGCGTTGTAACCAATCACCGAGCTAAGTGGGCTGATTGGTTAAAAGTGTTGAAGCGCAATGCACACCAACCAATGGGAACCGTGACAATCAGTCCAGCTGAATTCAACCGATAGGGGGCCGGTCTGGCCACTTCTTGGGTCCTTCGTACATTATCGTGGCTAGGGGCGCAGCCAGGATTTTCTTTAAGGAGAGCTCAGTGGGAAAAATCACATTGCGCCGCTTTTGACATTCTGCCGGAATCCATTCATGATGAAAAAACAAAAATCCTGGCTCTAAAGCAAGTGCGCCCCTTGATCGCCCCCGCGGCCGTAGCGTTATATAGATGACCATCCGCAACGTGCGCGACGCATGTAACGTGTATGAACGGAGAGGGGTTTCCATGGAGCATTGCCGAGGCGTAGCTAGTGGAAGAGGGATTTGGCAGCATGACGTTTTGCTCCGGTATAATTGCAAATTATGGTTTAGCACAGGCGCAGGAACGGCTGATGGGTGGGTGCCTGCCCCCCCCCCCCCCCCTCCACTTCCTAATCATCCAGGGCATTAACACTATAGCGACGCATGGAAAGAATCGGCTCAAAAATTGATATTAATACCACATTTCCTAAGACTCAATTCCACTTTCTTCATTCACATGTACGTTGTTTTCAAACGCGCACTGGTTCACTCACAGAGCACGATTAAATTCCATTTTAAAATCATGCTGTAGTTCCTGTTCACGCCTAGAGAGTCTGCCTGGCAACAGGGGCGGCGCATCCGAATTGGGGATGGGGGCAAAGACTTTATGAAGGGCTCCCAAACCGCTCAGCCATATATTTCAGTCGGGCTATGTATTCGGTCGTAAAGCACCTGACCGCCATTGCATCTCAATGAGTTACAGTGCCTGTCTCAACTCACCGGCGCCAGGGTGGTCAGATAAAACATTCGAGTTGCTTCAGTGCTCACTATTTCCCCCTGACTGGGAAGGCCTGTGGTCGGGGTCAGTCTGGTCGCCCAAGATCAGCTGGGTGGACTGAGCCGAACATTACGACGCGTCAAACTTCTGCGATGAAGTTCGGCTGTTTAGCTGAAGCTTTTCGATCGGATGGTCGGGCGGCCAGGGTTCACACAGCCAGGCACTGCTTAGCGTAGGCTCGTACTTCAGGAATCCGTCCAGTTCAGTCACATTTTGCATGTTCTATTTATCTATAAAAAGTTGCCCGAATGGTGTGCACCGGTGGCTTTGACCTCACTACCTATATGTGAGCCACAGCTTGCTCCTTCCACCCTGAACCGGCAACTTAAGAGTATAGTTCCAGTGAAACGGATGATTTTGCCTGCGGTCATTTCTCCACACGAGACCAATCGGAGGGACCTTCTTCATGCTGTGCGAGGCGACGGGACAGCTGCCCCGTGCCAGGTTGGCTCCCCGATCACCAGCCAGAAGACCGCTAGGAAAACTATTCATTTTTTTCCGGGACTCTTAGCCGGCACCACGGGATCCAAATGAGCCAACTTTCCCCTGGGGCGCGGCATCGGCCATTGCTGTATGTAGGTGAAACATTTGCCGATGTTCTTCGAGCTAATTATCGCGGACCTTGGATGCGTTCAGATCAAGCATCCCACCGCTGCATAAACGGCGCTATCCTCTACAAACTTTTCATATTGGTCGAGAATAGAACAGAAAACAAAACACACCATATGATAGCCCGCTAGCGCTTACCAAACTTCAGAGTTTACAAGGTACGATTAAAACCTGTTCGCTTAGGTCGAAAACGTCTGTCGACTCTTACCTGTTGTCAAATGGCGATATGGCCATATCAGCTAACGTCATCGCTATCTGGCGTTTACAATGCACGTTTGAAAACATTTCACGGACCTGATCAGGAGAACTAAAATAAAAAACTGAACTTCCGAGCCTGCACACCTGTAAATGCTAAGCAACAGCCACGACAGTTTTGCTCCCAGTCGGACATGGCGAGCCCCGAAGAGACCGCGCTACGCTTTGACGTCGGTGACATTGCCACACAACTGCCGCCAGAACACTGATATTCGCTTGCCGCGGTGCCTGAGGACGAGTTCACTCAAAATCTGATCAGACTTAAGCGTAAAGGTGCGTGCCCGATGGTCACGGAGCATCGCCAGGTGCGACAGCCGCTTCCGATGTATCGTCGCACGGAGGCACGTTTTCACCAGCCTGATAAGAGGTACCTATCAGGCACATGAAATGCTTACTTTCTCAGCCTAGAATGGATGGTCCCCTGATTGTTAAGGACCTTTTTGAGTCTGTAATTACCGTTTCCAGACCTGAAAGGGCCTGGAAGAAAACTTCTCGGGTTTACTATGGGCCTTTCCTGATCGGAGATGGGTCATTTCTAGGCCTAAACTTACTTGGGCGTTTCTTATTTGGAGGTGAACTACTTTCAGACCTGAGAAAGGTCCATCATAAGTTAAAAGCGGGGGGAGACAAGTCGGGGAAGGGAGGGGGGGGGGGGAGACACCGGGCGCACACACATCTCCTGTTTTGTCCAGACGGGCCCTTGGGGCTCCTCGGAACTGACGGCTAAGGGTACGACCAGGGGGCCCGAAAAGTTGGCTAGAGGCTGTTTCAAGGGGTCCCGGACCGCAAACGTCCACCAGAGGGCCTCTGGCGCCGGTTGGGGGTTCATGGGGGGAGGGGGGGGGGCTGTGAGGTCCTGCCAGTCGGTCCGCGACTACGAATTTCGAACCGTCTGCCCCGTGGCGGCTTAGGTCCTGTTTCCAAAGCCGGGACCTTCCTGGGGCCCACAATTGGCAGCCAGGGGCAAATGCAGAGGCGGGGGGGCATGGTCCCCGGGGCCATGGCCGCTCTTGGGCCCCGAAGGGGCCCACAGGCTCCGAAGGGGCCAATAGCCGGCCGAACAGATGCAGCTTTCACACAGAACGGAACAATATTGGACGTGCAGGGCTTCCAGGCGACCAGTAACAGTCGCAAGCGAAAGTAAAGGGCCACGAATAGACAAAGATGATTTTTCGCTGACTGACAAGGGTGCTGCATGGGATGCTTTAAGGCTCATCACACTGTCCAGAGACCCTGCGCTGTTTGCGGGGGTTCTGTGTGTCCACTTCCATAGTCAATCCGATCGTTAAGGAGCTTTCTACGTTGCCGCTGATTTCTTTGCGATTGCTCGGAGAGCCCTGCATTGTTGCTGGAGCCCTTCCTGCTAGCGTGTCGGGGCACTCTTTGTCAATCGGGGACCTTCTACGAATTCTTTCCATTCGCCCGAAAAGCCCTAAACGCTAGAGCCAGGGGATCCCACGTGTTGACATGCTGGGGTATTCTCGGTTGTTCAGGGACCTTTCACGTTAGTCTCGGCTAACCTACCGGCACACCAACGATATGCCCATGGGCTCTCTGGATTGGTAAAGGGTGCTCCCAATTCTCTGTCGCTTTCTTCGGGCACTTCGCTCTTGTCGGAGGCCCATGTGTTAGCCTGCTTGGGCTCGCTCGATCTTTCGGGTGCCTCCAAAATAACCTTTTCCGACACACGGGATTGTTCGCGGGCCCTGCAAATTGGGTTTTGGTATTAAAATGCAGGACCTTACGCTCCTGTCGGGGGCCATCTGATAACCTCCTTGAGTCCACTCGATCTTAGTGGGGCTATCCACACTGTGTGTGTGTGTGTTTTTTTAGCACATCTCGTTTGAATGGAGGGCCTACGCTCTTGGCTCGCCCTTCCCGCCAAGGTGAGAGACAGGCGATGACATAAAGCCTCAGCAGCTGAGTGCTTCGTAAAGCCCCAATGGCACGCACTCTTGTCGGGGGCCCTACCTGTTAACCTATTGCGGCCCACTTGATTGCTTCGGGGGCCCTCCGCGTTGTGTCGTATTTCTTCTTTGAATGGAGGACCCTATGCTCTCTTCGGAGTCCTTTATGTTAACCTCCTAGGGTATGCTAGATTTTTCGGGTGTCCTCCACACTGAGTCGTGGGTAATTCTTGTTTGAAATGGAGGGCCATACACTTTTGTTTGGCCCTTTCTGATAGCCCGCTCAGGCACATCCGACCGTTCGGGGACCATCTGCATTACGTCTTTACGGACTTCACGGATTACAGGCTTCCTACTTAAATGAAGGGCCCCACGCTTTTGTGGAGGTCCGATCTGTTAACTTTCTCGGGTAAACTGGATCGCTTGAGGCCCTTCACATTGTGCCGTGGGTGTTTATGACCTAACTAGAGGGCCCTATGCGCTGTGGGTGCTCCACTTGATCGGGCACATTCGATCATTTCTGGGTTTTCCATATTGTGCCCTGGATGCGTCTTATTTGAATGGATGAACCTATGGTCTTGTCAGGGCCCCATCCATTAAACTGCTCGGACCATTGGCGTGCCCAGAAGGGCAAGGGGACACGGAACCATGCTCCTTGTGCCCCAAGGGGGACCCATAGGCTCTCAAGGGGCCATGACTGTCAGAACGAGCGCAGTTTCTGCGCAAAGATCTTTGGTCCTCTAGACGACAAGGATAGTCACAAGCGAAAGTGAAGTGCCCTTGAGCAGACAAAGTTAGTTTTTCGCTGATTGAGAGGGTGGCGGTTGGGGACATTTTAGCAGCTCATGATGTTGTCCAGCTACGTTACGCCGCTGGCGGGGCCCTAATCTCCATCTGCTGGATCAATCCCATAGCCAAGGACCCTTCCACGTTGTCCTTGATCTATTTTCATTTTCTCGTAGTGCCCTACGCTGCTGTTGGGGGACTGTCTGCTAACATGCTTGGACACTCTTGGTCGATCAGCGACGCTCCGCGAATTCTCTCCACTCGCTCGAAAGGCTTTATATGCATTTTCCAGGGCCCCATATGCCAGGGTGCATTCAGCTGTTCAGGGGCCTTTCACATTTGTGTTGGGTTCTTTCCACTTGCTCGGAGGGCCTTGTGCTGCTGCTGGGACTCAAAGAAGTGAAGGCATCGGGCCACGCGATGCTCAGGGGCGCTCTACTTTCAACTAGCGTTCATTCTCTTTGATCTCATTTGCGGAGGACCCTTTACTCCTACCTGCCTCTTCCTGTTAATCTGCCTGGGCACTCTTGATCGCCCATGAACAGTAATTCAGTATATTTTTCTTCGGTAATTTTCCTTTGCTCAGAGAGGGCTACTAAGTATATACACTCACGTTCTTAACCATTGTCTCGCTTTGCTGGCGTACTTTTTGTCCTTACATAGCTGTTTTTCATTGGTTATAGATTTCACAACAGATAACGTTCGACGAAAGGTATCTATTCGCTTTTAAATTTTTCAAGAGCTTAAATATACGTGGATCGTATGGATAAAGAAACCCTCGCCATTGGCTTCGCTGGCCTGGACTGTGGCCAGGGACGCAATCGGTCACAGTAAGAGAGGGGCATCGCCGTTAGCAAGAGGTTTCGCTGGTGGAAGGACAGCAGGTAATCCAATCACCAAAAATCACCCCCAGAATAAGCCATCAAATTTGGCAATTTTTCCAGATCAATTTTCTTCTGTTCTCTTGATTTTTTTTTTGTCTGGAAGGTGATTCAAATGCTACCAGAAGGTGCAATGTCTCGTGTATCTAGAAGCAACTGCAATGAAGTCCTCCAGAAATAAAATGTCTGCAACCTGCATCTAGTTAACTACGGTAGCGGTCAGGGGCGTTGCCGAAATTTCCCGTGGTTTTACAAAAATATTTACGGCCTTTAGAGTGAACGCCAGTGTAGATCGAAACGGGGTCCAAAATTGCTATTTACATGTCCAAGCCTTGTAAGCATGGAGAAAAACACAATTTCTTTAGAATCCATAACTGAAAAGTTACAGAAAATAGTTTTAAGCATGTGCGCATTCAGCATGCCCAGCAGAAAGCAGACAAAGGCTCGGCGTTGCAGTCTCCAAGGGCCTCGCAGCGTCAGTTTAGCAGTTAACACTTGGTGGGGCTAGCGGACGGGTGATAAAGACCACATATCGAAAATGGTACGCTCAAATGTTTTTTTGGAATGCATTGGTATGCGTGATGTATCCGGGTTGTAGATTTCAACCGTACGATTTTCATACTGGTCTCGGAACAGGATATCACGCACAGCACGACACTTATAACGCAATGACTTTTCTGAAAATAGAGATTTTGTGATCCTTTAAGGTAGGCCCTGAACTTAATGAAATGCTGAGCATTCGTTATATGGTGACGCATGGAAAGAATCGACCCCAAAATTAGTTTTTGCACCCCCACTTGCTGACACGTTCCTCGCCGTTGCTTCCACCTTTGCCACAGAATACCCAGCAAACGTTTCTTTTCGCCTGATTTGGCCTACTTGCCTCACAATTTTGGATGGGGGTGGTTGGGGGGGGGGGGGGGCGGGTGCGGTCACCCTAATCTGAGCGGGAAGCTGCACCCCTGCCATGAGACCTCTTGGCTGTCCAATGGCCAGCATCTGTGGGAAATGCGTACAACCACTCTACCTACACTATATTTAATATTATTACTGATTGCTCGTGCTGGTCAATAAAAGTCGGCATACCTACGCCGTATACTTTTTGCTACCAGTCTATATGCGTCGCTGTCAAACGTCAGAAATTTCCACAATTTGCTTGCTGGATTTTTAACGTTCCGCATATAGGTACGTTAAATCATTTCAATCCCTACAAGTTGCAATCTTGCCATCCCTTGCCCATCACTATACATCACAAGAGGGGTTGCGTTCTCTCGCGGGGAGAGGAGAAGGTGTGGGACAGATAGACGTTTCGTCTAGCATGGGATCTCGTGAATAGAGGACATTCCTCAAAGTAAGTGGAATTTATTGCACTTGTCAATATTTACGTTGAGTGCGCGCCGTAGAAGCATTTACCTTGTCGGATGGTGGTGACCTTGTGCGCCATTTTGGGATCCTTGTCAAATTAACCCAATTTCAGGTTTTTGTCGGATATGCTATAAATTTGGTTGATTTAACTTATTGTTATGCTTCATTTAATTCTAAATCAGATACGCTAGACTCATTGAAGGGTGGTGTGAAACCTTAGGTTCAATTCAAGGTTAAGATCCCCAATGCAGCCTTTGTAAAGCAAATAAGCATGGCTGCTTACAGAATTTGAGCTTGATGGGATTCTCTTGCCTCCTATGACCTTGAATGACATATTTTAGTGATGAACTTCACCTCTGCAAAATGCTGTCTTTGTAACATGACTTTATTTTGACACAGCAACTTCAGTAATCTGAAAACGGACATTCCACCTATCACTATCCCTTGCAATACCACATATCACATCAGTAGTGTAGGCTTTTTGCACTGCTGGTGCTGATGGAATAATGCTTACACACAAAGGTCAGCCTTTTGTACTCACTGTTTCATGGTTCATGAAATGAATAGAAATTATTTTGATGCTGATAGATGTTTGTATCCCCCTTTTGAATTGCCTGTCATGAGGATGCAGTCTCTGGTTTCATCTTCACCATACATCCAAACAGCATGTTGAATTGCTGCCCAGCTCTCAGTTCATAACTCATGCTACAGTTATATTTCCTTCAGTGTTGTTGTGTGCTAGAATGATTTGTTTATGTCTTTTTCACAAGTTTTACTTCTCATTTATCTTATCAGTGTACCAAATATTTATCATCCAGTTTTGATCAACACAGCATTTAAACCTGTCATTTTTTGCCAGTTTTGCCAACAATAGTTGTACTAGCCATGTGTAGCTGGTCAAAATAGGATGGCAAGAACTGTTTCATCCAGAATAAGTTTGAATTTGGTTTGCTTTATTGCACCTTCACTGTGGGGAATCAACCATTATATTTAATATTTGTTATAAACAGATTTATTTCATGTATGCCCTTCGTTTGAGATAAAGATAATGTAATGATCAGTTTTCCAACTGATGTGTGCTCTAGCAAGGTTAATGCGAGCTAACAGTGCAGGCAGATTGAGACCCACTGAGTTTACGTAATCTGGACTCGACCAGACTTTTTTAGCTGCCTTGAATGTACTTTCCCTTGATTAACCACTGCCTCTTTTAAACTTAATGGTATGATTCTGGCACATATATGTATGATATGTTGTGTTGCTTGGTGTTAGTTGCAGAGGAGCATGGCCATGTTTGTGGCTGCTTGAGAGTGCTAAATCATTCAATTGTTTATGGTAATTTTAAGGCATTTTATGCTTGTTGCAGTATAAGTTATAAAAAAAATTATAGTTTTTTAACATTTCTGTGTTATTTTTTATTTTTGGTCAACTATGTGGTCTGTGTGAGGGATGCTGGGCCTCATGATCCAGGGGCACTGGGCACAGTGTCCCAGAGCTGGCACATTGTTTGGCCAGACAAATGAAATGGTTAGCTGGCAACTGGCCAACAAGGATTAACACAGGCCCAGGGCTGCCATGCAGCAGCATTGTGCTACATGTTAAACCCTCCACATTCTTGTCTGATGAAAGGGCAGTGGCAAAATTATTAGTTGAACTGGATGGCACAACTTAGGGTGGTGGTCTCAGGGTACAGACAACCAACAAGCTATGCTTACCAGGTATTCTGTACCCAAAGCTACTCAAGCAAGCCATTCAAAATAAATTTGCTAGCACAAAATATCATTTGCATCCCTATATGTTCATGTATAGTTTTTATATCCAATGACATGGTTGTGCAATAGGAGGGGTGACATTTAAAACCCTAGGTGCTCAATTGGTGAAATTTCCAAGGCATTGCCAGGTTATGTTTGTTTATTATAGCCTAGTTTGATATGTGTCATCACTGAATAAACTTATGGTACCTGCTGTGCCCCAGAGGGTTTTGGTTTGGATAGGTGGGGATGTAGAGGTTTAGTGAGCATAATAAAAGAATGAAGAACATTAGCAGAAGGTCATACCATTTTTAAGTAGGCAGAAACGTGATTTCATTTTGTCAAATCAGATTTATCTATTGTAAAAATTACATTTATTGTGCATCTAGTCACAGTGGAAGTGTGACTAGACGTCACAGTCAACAGGGAAAGTGTGTATTCAGTGTCCAGCCGATAATGCAAGTAACACTTAGTTTTAATAGTTCTGGAACATTTTGGCAACAATCTGCATTGCAGGATGATGGGTGCATAACATAGAGATCATCTCCTTAGCTATTGTGTTCCAAAAAGAACTTACTCTGGTGTTTCGCTCTTTTCCCATTAATGTAATCAAATCTAATTTTTCCCAACCCTGGGTCATATTTACAATCCATATAATGTGGACAAGATGTAGAGAAGGAAACCTTTACATTTTCCAGCAATTGAGTATTTGTTATCTGACATGTGGACACAAAACCATCCATTCTCTTAGGTCAATGTATTTTTGTTTTGCAATGCCTTGTAGATTATGTGACTGTCAGAGAAGTTTGGGGTGTTTGTTGAATTGTTTGGTACAGAATGCAACTCTTGCCACCGGAAACTTCCATCAGGTGTGGTTTCTTCCAACAGCAGCAGGAGGTGACTACTGACCTTAGGCTGCTGATATGTTGGTTGCATGTTTATGGACCATATGTACACCAGCTGAGAAGATGCCAAAAGATTATTGGGAACACTTTCACATAGCTGTGAGTGTGTGAAAAATCAATTGTGTCCTTTGACATGTGCCAGTATGTACCTGCAGTTCATGTTACGGACCTCCTGCCACACTCACATAAGTGGCTTACACTAGTGCACCTGCCTTTTATTTTTCTTAATCACAACATATTTAATGTGGTCCAATGCCAGCTGGAGATAAAAGGGGATGCCAATTGGAGTATGGGTGGAGCAGGGCTGATTGGTGGAGATGGCAGGTGCCTTTGTGTCATGGATTCTTTTGGATAAAAGGAATTTGTATGATCTTACATAAAGTCCTTTTGCTATGCTGCGGCAGCCCTTTTCCACAGACCTGTCCAAGTGTAGCATCACAGCTCTTCTGCCCAGACATCTGGAATGTCTTGCCGAGGGGCTGGTTGACAGACGCGAACTCGCACGTTAACACTTCTTAACATTTTGTGACTAATCTTTGTATCCACTTTGTGGTAGCTTCTGGTCCTCACAGCTAAATTTACCTCAAATAACTGTACCCCAGTCCAGGAAGGTGGGTTGGACCAGGGTAGCAAACTGATAGACTAAGCTGTTTGAATTTGCTGGAAGGACTAGCCAAAGGCTGCTGCTACCCATTTGTGGCATTTTAACTGGATGTTGACATTCTGCGCCAGGTCCCATTTGACTGATGGCTGTTACCCATGCTTCCCCCCGCCCTTTGGTGCAGGTGTGCCTTTGAATCAGCCATCCATCTGTTGCATATGCTTTCCCACTTGGTGTCGGCGCGCCGGTGAGTCGGCCGTCTGAGGCTCAGCGTCTTGTGTTGGCAATCCATGCGAGAGAGCTGTCTGCTTTGGGACGAGTGTGTTAGGCTTGCAAGGAATCATGACAGGTATTTGTGTCTCAGTCTGCTTAAAATCAGTCCATTGTATCGGACGATTGCGTGACGGTGGTGTGCCAAGCTCGGAGCGCGCGTGCGCCGAACTCAGGTCAGGCTAAGTTGCGCTGCAATTTTCAAGTTATTCTGCCTTGAAAAACTTTGGAGGCGGACCCCCAGTAGAAATTTCCCTAGCAACATCATGACTCCTTGAAGAATTGTATCTATATGCGCTACAATTGGCGGCGACGCGCGGGCCGAATGCGGACCCTCGGGTTTCCGCCGTACGTGTGCTGAAATTGCTGCCGGGATGTCGCTGCTGCGCGGGGCATGATCGGCGTAACCTTCAGTTTTTGCAGTGTGGTGTTTGAATGGGACTTCCAGCAGATCGATAATGCTTAACATTCAGTCCACTGACAGCTGGATGTGGTGCGGTATGTCAGGCAGGCCAGGAGGGGACGCACGAAGCACCAGGGCGACTAGGACTGAAATGTTTGTGGTGGTGCACTTGTAAACCCGCGCGTCTGGGTGACCAGAGGCACGGGGCTCGATTCCCCGGGTGGCTCGCATTTCTTGTCGGGGGGGGGGGGGGGGGGGGGGGAGGGGGAGGGGGAGAGTCAGATGGGGTCATATAGCATAGCTGAATATGACATACAACATTAGCCCACTACATACACAAATGCAAAACTGAGGATATACGGCAGTATTGAGGCAGGATCTCATGTAATCTGCCATCCTGTTTTTGATTCCTGACGTGGATTCAGTCCCAGGATGCTACAGACGGACACAATCCAGGTAGCGGACCCAGTCCAAGTGCCCAACTCAATCCTGTAGCAGCAGCAGAATGTCCTGGATACAAAACTCGATCCATGCGGTTCTCCAATAGATCCGTGCGGTTCCTCCACGGGCCATGTTCGTCCAGTAGTCTGCGCTCACGCGCACTGCAGTGTGAAGAGGACATGAACAACAGAAGAGCAAGACTTGCTTCTGACATACATGCAGTTGCGCGAGTGGAGAAGGCTGAGTAAAATTGCTGTGCGGAACCGGCCAGAATGGACATGTTTCAGCGTGAAAATGGCGAAAGTATGTCCATTTCAGTGAAAGCTGGTGCGGCCGCCGCGACACCGGCAACTTGAGATATGCAGTTGCCACGGGTGACAGGAGAAGGCTGGCACGCTTGGTAGAGCATTTGCCCGTGACCTCGCGCGGGAAGTCGTGGGTGTCCAATTTGGCAATGGGCCAAGAGTTCCGCCGTTCTCCACAACGGCCGGCGTTAGATATTGCCATGCTGGATGGCTGGGAGTGCGTCGCTAAACCCACAAGTTCTTATAGCAATGGCGCGTTTATGAACGCATGAAATGGCTGGGAAGCTCCATGTGTTAGCTGCATGCTGATCCTTTTCCGCTGACCACTCACCTATTTTTACACCCATGACATCACCGAGGGCCATGCACACCATGATGGGGTGGGGTGGGGAGGGGAAGGGGGACACACCATGATGGGGTGTCTTTCAAAGCAATTGAGTGCCGGGTATCGGAATGGAGCTTCTGAAGCGAGAGCTTCTGACGGCCTCATGACTTGCCGGCTGTTGCGTAGCTGACCCACGAGAGGTTTTATCGGCCACAGACTGCTCTGTCATAGGCCGCGTTCGATCTTTCGTCAGCACATTTGTCAGCGCCAATCACGGCCTGGTATTTTCCCTACGTCACGTCACGCCACGTGACCACAAAGTCACGTGTTCTGTGACGTCACGCGCTGGCTGACGATGATGCCGGGATTTTGATCAGCCCGTCAGTATGGAGGGAAGGTGCTGCCGGATTAGAAAATCATTCTGGCAAAGAAGCGGGAGTCTGATTTGATAGCTTTTGCGTTGGCGAGTACTTTAGGTGGGGTAGAGACACTTGTCTCTAATTTTGAAGGAATGCGACGTGAAGGATAGATGAGAAGGGAAGTAGCCATAGCCCACAGTAGCCATGAAAAGGCGAGTGACATTGACTAGTGTGGTGTACAGTTGCGTTCCTCAATAAATTAGGTTAGAATAATCGTAAAAGATGGAGAACAGGAACGAAACGCGTCTTGTCTCGAACATGAGCCTTTTCAGTACAAGTGTGGGTCCAATGAAAGGGTGGAATTCATGCCAGCACAAGTAGCAATGAAGGATCGATTGAATTTTTGCGCAAAAATGAGGAATCTCCAAAATTGAAATGAGGAAAAAAAATTCATTTTGGTGGGAATGGGAAAAGTGAGCAACCTACCTATGAGAAAGATGGTGGTAACACCGGAACAAGAGCCACACTTCCACACATCACCTTATAGGTGATGCGTCCACGTCGGCGGTAAGCCACAGTTAGTGTTTGGTCGGAAGTAGTTAAAAGGTAAAGGAAACAAGGAAGGCAAAATTGAAAACTTTCCCGTCAGCCCACACATCGAACGCTCCGTCAGCACGCATGCCGTCACGCATTCCAGCCGTCAACCGCGCTGACGTCAGATCGAATGGGGGGGGCATAGCTCTACTACAGGGGAAAAATATCACTACCGCGTAAGGTAAAAAGAAAGGAAAAGTAAAAACTAAAGAGGAAACAACCGAAATGAGCTCTGCAGGTGCCTGCGACCAATTATGCTTTTAGAAGAAAGGCCATTTATGAATGGAAAGGCTGCGCTCGTCCTCCCGATGGTCATTATCTGTAACGAGCGGTATTGACCGCTCACGCTGCGTAGGATAAGAAGCCATTATCACAAGCCCCCCCCCCCCCCCCCCAGAAAAGAGGGCGTCATAAGTCTTATCTGGTACTATTCGGCTCGTTCCCAAAAAGCTAAACAAGATGTTTTCCTAGCTGGTTTGATTTGCATGCTTCTGTCGGGGACAAGGAAATTAATCGTTGGTGCGTTCTCGCGTTGGAACGTGCTGGCTCATTACTCATTGAAAATGGTTGTCGTTAAATTTGCCGAACTGCGACGTTTGGTGCCGGACAGTGTCAACCGAGTGGCCGGGTTTTCGGCCACTGTGCCTGACATGCGCTGTTCCGCTCCGTCTATTGCAGGTCAGCTCCCATGAGTGGCGGCGTGCGCATCCTCGTGACATAAACAGCTGAATGACCCTCCCGCCACCCCCAATGGCCGAGTAGAATGGCTGGCGCCTTACGTAGGCAGCATGCCTGCCTCGGCTGGCCAACCAAGCCTGGGGAGGAAGGCGAAGCCGACGACGCTCCAGTGATGCTGTGTAGTCTCTAAACTTTGTAGGCCAGGTGAGGTGCCAGACTCCAGACCCGCACATGCTACGGCTGTGTGGCTGAGCACCACGCCTGTGGTACGAGGCTAAATGCCACCACTTGGCATGCCCGCGTAGCGTCGTATATGGCATGCATGGCATAATGTGCCTACGTGCGCAAGATTATCGCAGAGTTATCACAGACGACTATTTGGTGATTGCAGATGGGATGATGTAATTTAAGATAGCAGCAGTTTAAGTGCTTCACGCCAAGTCGTCTCGGCCGTCAAATATATCTCGAAGGTGATGAATGCTTGGACTGTGGTCTGAGGGAGCACTCAGCAGCCTGCAACCGGGTTTTGAGTACCATTCGGAACTGACCGCATTCTTGCTTTTGCCTCCAGATAGATAACTGTGATGAAGTATCCCCAGCTTGTCTCCACTCCAGCTGTGGTCAAGGTGAGCACGTGGTGCCTGGGTCTGCTTGGGGGGTGCAGTTTGTGGTGTTATTCAAGTCGTCCTTTTTTGGTCTGTTATACTCAGCAGTTCTATGGCATGTGCCGGCCCATTTCCTGTTCGGAGTGATTGGTATGGTGCACATCAACATATTCATGTTTGGGTTACACACAAATATTATCTCATGGCAGCAGATAACATGATTTCCCAGATTTTCCGTCGTAGTATAATGAGGCTGAAGCGCGCTGGAAAATGACCCGGCGTATTGGCATTGGTGTCTGACGACTTCCACACGGTCACGGCTGACCGAGGCGACAGCAGTACCCTACACCACGTGTAATCGATTGTAAGCCCTCCCACCCGTGGGGGAACACGAGAGCGCGATACGGGAGCCTGAAGCCTTCCTCCCCTGTCGACGTTCTCTCCAACTGACGGGCGCGCCGACCGGCCGGCAGGAATGGCTCGAGACCGAGTTGGAGTGCCTCGGCATCGACTCGGCCGCGTACGCCCGAACCGTGCTCTCCCTGCTGGCCCGTGACACCATCGACCCGGCCGAGGTCATCCAGTCCGGCTATGTCCTGGTCGCCAACAAGGTGGGACACCGCCTCGGGGGGCATGGCACGCCGGTGCCTGTCGCGGGAGGTCGTTAGGTGTCGGATGCTGGCTCAAATCAGGATGGAAAATGTCGCCTCCACCGGTCACCTGGTTGCGACGGGCATACTTCGTATGGACTTTGTTCTTACCGATTGCTTGTTGGGCTCTCCTGCCGTCATACCTGCCCCGTTGATGAGTCCCGGAGAGGCGCGGCACAAGACCCACCGCCTGACACCGGCGGATGGTCTGGCCGACCAGGCCACTGGAGCGCCTTGCGGCTCCCTGAGCGCGGCATTTGGAGTACCTTGTGACTCCCTGAGCGCGGCCACTGGAGCACCTTGTGGCTCCCTGAACGCGGCCACTGGAGCATCTTCCGGCTTCCTGAGCGCGGTCACGGAAGCACGTTGTGGCTCTCTGAGCGCGGCCACTGGAGCACCTTTCAGCTCTGAGCGCGGCCACTGGAGCACCTTGTACTCACTGGGCGCGGTCGTCCGGTGTGTGTCTGTGCCTGTTGGTTTGTGGCTGTGGTTCCGGGTGCCGTCAGTGGTGCGAGACGGGCCGAGCTAACCGTGGCGTGTCGGGCAGTGCGGCCGCGGCGCCGGGGGCCCAGGCGGCCCCCACCCGCCAAGGACCAGGGAGGAGGAGCTGAAGAGAGCTGAGGTGATCGAGTGCCTGAGGTCGGCCTCCGAGGACCACTGCGGCATCCAGCTGCTGGTCGACCAGCTGATCAGCATGCTGAAGCAGCTGCCGGCCTCGGAGGCGACCAGCTCGGCCGACATCCGCCGCCGACCGGACACCGTGGACGCGCCCACCGACGACCCCGTGCTCAGGTCAGCGGCCCACCGGTGGCGTGCTGTTTGGTGCTGCGTCACTGTAACCTATCGGGACTGAGCTGTGATAGCACCTTGGGCACATTATTTGCGATAGACCTTGTAGTCGGCTTTCTTTTGCCTTCTCGTACACGGGTGCCAGGGGCTATAAACTCAGACTGTACGCAGCTGTAAGCGTAGACTGTTGCCCTTTTGTCGATGTCTTTTTCGAGATCCTCTTCCTTAATATCGATGTGGATCGTCTTTCAGTAGACTGGCGTCGCCTCTGCCAACGAGTGTCAGCGGCTGACTGTGTGCGTGGGTACGTCGGCAGGTACGAGGCGGCGTTCCCGGCTCTGAGCCGCGGCTCGCCGAGCGTCGTGCCGCTGACCTACTTCAGCAAGATGGGCCGCGCCCCCACCCAGCGGCCCGTCTCGCTGTCGGCGTGGTGCGCGGACGCGGCGCCGGCCGACCGCTGGCACTCCACCGACGACCACCCCACAACAGCTGTCTGGCCTACAGCACTCCGCCTGAGCCTGCTGCTGCACCCGGCCGGGCTGGCCGGCCTGCCGGACGCCGTGGCCGGCTGGCCGGGCCGGCTCGCCGCGGAGCCGCTGACCGGCTACACCAGCCTGAGCACAGCACCACTGGAGCTGGCCGCCGGCCTGCCCGAGCCCCCGCCGCCGCCGCCCAAGCCGCCCGAGCGGCCGGCCGACGCGGCGCGCGCCATCCAGCCGTCGGCCGACACGCACTTCCAGCCGATCCGGCGCGCCAGCGACGGAGACGACGAGCCGGCCGGCTGGGCGTCGCCGGCCACCTACGACGCCCGCCTTTACACGCGCTCGGACAGCGGCGGCCTTTACCTGGAGGACGAGCCGCGCCCGGCCGCCGACCGGCCGCAGAAGTACATGGTGTACCACGAGCCGGCGCCGGGCCGCGGCCTCGTGCCCAAGTTTAAGCTCAGCTGCAACGAGAAGTACTGTCAGACGGACGAGGCGGTGCCGGCCGACGGCGCCGGCCGCGACCTGCTCCAAATATTGGTTTCCGGAGAGCAGTCGGGCGCGGTGCCGGACGTCGAGGCGGACGACGACGACGACTCGAGCCACGAGGTGCTGTCGAGCCTGCAACACGTGCTGCACAGCATCTACGAGGACGGCAGCGACGCAGCGGCCGACGACAGTGAGCTGGAGCCGCCGGCCGCCGGCGAGCAGCCCGAGCCGGCGCGGCCGGCGCGCCGGACGTCGGCATTCGCGCGCGTCAGCCGCCCGCTGGTCGGCCATCGGCCGCTGTACCTGCGCGGCGGCGGAGCCGACTCGCTGCTGGCCGCCGTCTACACGGGCGGCGCGTGGTCGCCGGTCGGCGCGCCGGCCGAGCCCGACCACCGGCCCCTGTACGCGCGCCAACCGGCCACCGCCTCCTCGGCCGCCGCCGCCGCAGCCGCCGCCGGCTACGCCGAGCATCGCCAGCTGAGCTCGGGCCGCATCAGTGGGACCGTGTACCGTCAGGGCCCGACCGAGTACCCGCCGCTGCGCTACCAGCTGGCCGGCCGCGACCTGCCCGAGGTCACCTTCTGCCGGCTGAGCAGTGACACGCACAGGTACGCCGCACACCCAGGCCACTCCCCCCGCCCGCTGTCGTGGCGCTCGCCAGGAGGAGAGGAAAAATCGGTTATGCAGTGGCCTCCGTGATCGGGGGAAAGGACGTCGTACGTGGGTTACTGTTACTTGTGCCGTGTTGTATTACAGCTTCTTGTCATTCTTGATAGCTGCGCTACCCGTTGTGCCCCGCAAACAGCCGCTGATTGGTCTTTCCATTTCGGCAGCGCTGCCTCCTGGCAGGAGGAGCCGGCATTGACGGGTGACGCGGCCATCTGGGAGTGCAGCTCGGACGACGTGCGCGCCTCGCGCGAGTCGAGCGTCACCAGCGAGGCGTCCGGCTGGCCGGGGGGCGGCGAGCGGGCCGACGACGCCACCCTGTGGCAGGCGTGCGGCGAGCGCCACCGCCGCGACCCGTCCGCCGACCGCGCCCTGTGGGAAGCGCGCGCCGACGCGCCGCCGCTTCAGCGCTCCGTCGACAGCGCCATCTGGGAGCCGCCGGCGGCGGGCCGGGAGGAGGCGCCGGGCCGCGGCGGCTCGGTGGAGACGGCTGCCTGGGAGCCGCCCGGCTCGCCGACGCCGCGTTCACAGCTGATCAGCGACGCTCTCTGGGAGTCTCACGATCTCACCGAGCGCGAGATGGCCATCGACGAGACCCGCTGGGAGTGCTGCGACGAGCGCGCGCGCCGCAAGACGTCGGCCGGCGAGGCGCGCTGGGAGTCGCGCGGCGGCGTTCACAGCCTGGAGAAGCCCGTCGGCAAGGACCCCTGGGAGCCGCGCGGCGACGACTGCAGCCTCGAGAAGCCCGTCGACAAGGGTCCCTGGGAACCGCGCGGTGATCACTCGGCGCGCAACTCGGCCGACAGGAGCGTCTGGGAGTCGCAGCTGAAGATGTCGGTGGACGCGCCGCTCTGGGAGTCGCCAACGGACCTGGTGGAGCGCGAGCCGTCGCTGGACGCGCTGTGGCAGCTGGACGGCGAGCTGCGGCGCGGCCGCTCGGTGGCCGCCACGCTGTGGGAGGCGTGCGGAGAGCCGGCGCCGCCCGAGCAGGCGGCCTGGCCGGCCGACGCGCCGCGCTGGGACGGCGGCCTGATCCGGCCGCCCGAGCAGATCTGGCGGCGCGCCGAGCCGGCCGAGCCGGACCAGCCGCGCGAGCAGGTGCGCCGTCTGCTGCGGCGGCTCGGCGGCGATGACGTGCTCGCCCAGACCGGCCTGTACCCGGCCGACGAGCTGGCCGACCGCGGCCTCAACTGGGAGTTCATCGATGAGAACAACGTTAAAAACAAGATAGATAAAAACGTGAGCGCTCATCGATGCATTGCGAGGCAACGCAGCAGCAGCCGACAGATGCCTCTGGCTCGTGGTGTGTGTTCCATCAGATCGCTGCGATATAGTTGAAAACACGCTTGGCGGATAAGCTCTTAGGGACAACTCGAGGACCAACGTTCTTAAACATACCAGCCGGCTCCAGAACCTCGATTGACCGGTGGCTTTCGGTGTACTGCTCTGGTGAGCTGGTCTACGCGTGTCCCCCCCCCCCCTCGTCGCGCGCGCGCTCATGTGTGTGTATTTGTGTGTGCGCGTGCTGACGCGGCCCGTCCCGCCGGCCAGGGTGCGGACGACTCTGGCCCGCTGGCCTCCGAGCTGGTGGACGGCGCGCTCGGCTGGCGCGCGCTGCCGGCGCTGCGTCAGCTCTCCGAGTGTCTGGGCCTGACCGAGGGACGCCCGCTGCCCGACGGCGTGGCGCTCAAGGCCTGGGCGCTGGAGGAGCAGTGGCGGCGCGACGACGGCGTGCAGCGGTCGGCACGCGACCGGCGGCCCAGGTCAGTCAACCGCCAGCTGCCGGCGCCCGGCCGGGCGGCGGCCGGGTCAGGTGGCCGCCGGCATCGGACAATTCGGTTACCCACGCTCAGGAGCGGCGCGGCGTCAGAGGCGAGCCGTCCGTGGTGATGGCGGCCTAGTGAGGAGCGGCGCGGCTTCCCGGTGTGCTGACATTCTCGTGTTGCCTAACGCCCTGCTCATCTCCCAGTTTCCCTGCTGCTGTAGCGTGCCGGAGTCGGGCTCGTAACACCCGTACCGCTGGTGTTTCTCCAGCGGCAATAGCCTCTGGCGAAACGACATGCGTGCATGCTCTCCCAGTATTTTGCTCATATTGCTCTTACTTTATCTTAATCTTCAATCAATGTGCATGAATGCCATTGAGTTAGCTGCAACGTGTTCTTTTTGGGTACAGATCATGTCATGGGATGTGCCCAAAACATCAAAGGGACAATGTTGGCAACTGACACCTTTTCAGGGTTGGCCAATGGACGGGAACACATGTATGTGTCATGTCAGTCATCACAAGCGCACGTATAGACGGCGTTCGCCCTTCAAATATGCAGGCCACACGCACACACGCACACGCAAAAGCGCTGCCCTGTTGCGCTGACTCCTTCGAGCTGTGGCCTATTCTATTGCTTGGTGCACTAACGTGCACGGAAGCGTATCTAACACGGCATTACCCATTCAGCATGTTAAGCTTCCGCATCTCCATTCAAACTGGAGTATCCACACCAGCTGCACGTGCGTGCAGCCGTTTCCGTCTGGTGCATTCGACGGCCAGTGTCACCTGGACTGAGCACAAGACGACACGCGGGCAGGGGCGGTGCTCTTGCTGAATCCGGGCTTTATGGTTTACAGGAGGTCTGATCGCAAACGCCCCTGTAGCTATTTTATGGAAGGCAACTGCAAGCGGAACGATTGTAAATTCTCGCACGACCTGTCCGCAATCACGTGCGTGTTTTGGGAGGAGAGCGGCTGCTTCAAGGGCGTCACCTGTCCCTTCCTTCACGGATATCCGGCGTGAGTACCGTTAACGGTCTCCTCCACCCACTCGTCCCCTCTAACTGACCTGTCCGCTGGCGAAATGCGGTGAAGGGGCTGCGCCTAGGTGTGTGCATGCATGAATGCTATTTTTAAAATAAAGATGCTTGAATATTTCAAGTTCAGTGTCAATGAGTATGAAATACCAGCCCGGCTCTACTCAACCCACTCATTCACCGCTAGAATGTGAGCGTTGAGTAGATGACTGGATGAGTAGATGAATGTGTGAACGAACGATTGAGTGGGTGGGCGAGCGAGCGGGTGAGTGAGTGAGTGGGTGATTCGGTGAGTGAGTGAGTGAGTGTGAGTGAGTGAGTGAGTGAGTGAGTGAGTGAGTGAGTGAGTGAGTGAGTGAGTGGGTGCTTGAGTAAGTTAGGAATCAGGTGCATCGACGAATGCATAACCATCTGCATCAGTGTTGCATGAGTAATACAATCAGTCATAAAGTGTTGCTGAAAAAGATAACCCGTTCCCCACCAGCCGTGTGTCGGCGAACGGGGTGTTCTGCGTGGGTTGGTGCTGGGCCAGATACCGGTGTTTGGAGTGGTGCTCCGTGGACGGAACTGCTTTCCTGGTGTATGACTTAATGCCGCTGCCGTTGCGCCCTGTTGGTTTCCTCGGCTGTTTTGGCTGCACTACTGCTCTCCTTAAGACTGCACATTGCGGTGACCAGTTCGCTTGGGGCTAGTTCACGTCGTGTTTGGAGCCGGGGATCATGTCATGCGTGACTAGGTGGTAGCCGGTGTGATTACCGTGGGCAGGTGGTGGTGACCGTCGTATACTGATTGACAGGGACGATGAAGATGATGAAGACTCGAGTGACTCGGCCAGAAGAGCAGTCCCCAAAAAGTCATTTAAACTGGAAAAGGAAGACTTTCCCTCTCTGCACAACATGAAAAAATGGCACAGGAATGACGAGGTATGATTCGTTGACTTCTCTGGCTGCTGTCTTTTGCGTCAAACTGGAATGGGCTGAGCGTGGTTCCATTGCATGACATGGACACATTTATGTCAGCTTACGTAAGGAAACCATTTACATCGTAGTTGATTGTGTAAAGCAAAATGACTTGAGTATAAGTGCATGGTGTGCAACAAATCAGCTATATTCCTGGTTGATATGGAGACGGAATAAGGCCATTTATGCTGCCCTTTTGTGTGTATAATGTTCCTAATGTTCTTCGCAGCTGCGCTGAACAGTTAATGTAGAATTACCTGAAACGTTATTAACAATTCGTAATTGTTTGTCATCATCATCGTCCTGGGATTTCATGTGACACATAAGAACAATTGGTAACGGATAAGTCAAGTTCTGATGGGTCATAGCAACTGGCGTTCGTAAATCAGTGAGCTCAGCCATTTGTGCTGTCGGCGTCTTATTTTCATCCCAGAAATGATTCATGTGTCCCGTCAAACGTAATCTAAATGCGATGAAATACGCTGCTAAGTCTTATTTTAAAATTGTCAAACTGTGTGTCAGACGACCGCTAAGGCTTCGCACGTCGTAGACCTCGGCCACGTACCCGCCAGTCTGGAGTTCGCTGCCGTGTTAACGGCTTCAGCCCCGGTAGCCTCTTCGCGCGGTGTTGCCCAGCGATCGTGATTGTCGCTTGCAGCAGAATGCGAGCAATGCACGTAAGACTGTTACTGTCGCCAGACAGATTTGCCGTCGCACTCGGTCGTGTACCGACTGCGATTGAGTACGTAGCAGGAGGCCAGCGGGCTATCTGTGACGGCTGCGTCCGCGCCCCAGGAGGACAGCCGAAGGCCGGGCCGGCGCGGCTGCCGACGACACAAGTCGTTCTCGGACGCCACGCTGAGCGTCGGCGGCGGCGACCAGGAGCTGCACCGGGCCGCGCTCGGCGGCCGCGGCAAGCGTCGCCGCCACCACTCCAAGAGCGAGGGCGTGCGACCGGCGGACGCGGGCGCGCGCCGGCCCTGACCGGGACCGGTGCGCCAGGAGCCGCCGCCGGCAGCGCCCGCCGGCCGGCTCAGCCCGGCGACGCGGCGCAGCTGGCGGCCGACTCGACTAGCGTGAATACGCCGAGGGAAGGGAAGCGAGTGAGGTGGGAAGGGAGTTAGACGCGGAGCGAGCTGTGGGAGGGGAGAGATACGTGAAACAAGGTGCGGAAGGGAAAGGAGCGAGGTGCGGGAGGGGAGGGAGCGAGGTGTGGAACGGCGAGCGCGAGAGACGCGGAGCGAGGTGTGGGAGGGCGGGTGAGAGACGCGTGGGCCGGCGAGGGGAGCTGGTGGGGCGGTGAGAGGCCGCGCGCCCGGGCCGGTCGGCGGCGGCCCGGTCCCCGGCCGTCCCTGTCTGTGGCCCGGCCGGCGAGCGAGCCGCCCGTCCGACCGACCGCCGCACCTGGCCCCGCCCCCGCCCCCTACGCGGCGCCCGGCCCGCTCCCATGTAATAGCATGTGCAAGCGCTTCGCTGACAAAACTATTAACTCACTGTTTCGTAGTGGCCGTGCGTTTGGAATGGTGTCGCCCCAGCCTTGTTCAGAGCGCGGAGTGTTTTAATCCAGACTGCCTGCTCACGTCGGCGCGGCAAGTCCGTCTCTAAAAGAGCTTAACCAGTGGCCGTCCCGTCTCGAAGCGGCCAGCAAGTAAACGAATCTTTACCCGCAGTACCTTCTGAAACTTAGTGTAGTCCCCCTAAAAAAAATCAGCAGATGTTAGAGTAGACGATTTTGACGGTCAGGCCCGGGCAGACCAAAGGACGCCAGCTGTGAGTGGCAGACCGCCGGACTCCATGTGGGACGCTGAGAGAGAGGGAGAGACAGTCAGTCACGCCGCGTAGGACAAATGAACGATATTAGAGTAGCAGCATCTTTTGTCAGCCTCACGTATTGTTTTGTTCCTGTTCTTCGTCTTACCAAACACGTTGTGTCAGTGTTCTAGTTTCCTTCACCAAAGTCGGAGTCGCCGCGGCGGCGCACCGCCGACGGAGACACACAAATGGAAACCAAGCCCGACGCAAATAAACGGCAAACCCCAGCCCCGTGTGTTCCCGGCCAGTGCGGCAGTTGTGGACATGCCGTCGGCGGCACCACCTGGCTTGCTCCGTTACGCTCTCAACGCGCTGACTCGGCAGGGTGCGCGCGTGTCTCGCCTGTTTGCCTGTTGCCATTCTAGCAACCGCACCGGCGTGCCGACATCAGGCCCGATCTCGTGGGTGGGTTTCTTCTCTACGACAGCCCAGATATCCACGCCCCAGTCAGCGTCTTGTAATAGCGTGTTTCATTGAGACGTCAGCGTCATGGGGCGTTGCGCAATCTGCCGCCCCACGCCTGGCGCTCGCGCCGGCGGCACTGTGCCGAATTCCGGGCGAGCTGGGCGACCGGGGCCGGCCTTGAGCCGTTCCCGTGCCCCGTGCAAAGTGGCGGCCGGTCATCACGGGCTGATGGGCCCGATCGGTCCGCCCGGCGCCGTTCCCGCCGATCACGGCGGGTAATGGGCCGCCGGCCGCCAGCCCGCCCGTGAACGACACGGCCACCGACCACCGGGACACGCGCCAGGGGCCCGTCCGGCGCTGCCAACCTGACGTACGGGAAAGGCGCGTGCACGAGCTTGGCTCGCGATCCTTCGCTGTGCTCACCGGCCGGCAGAACCCAGCACACTCGCGTCACCGGCACGTCCCAGAGACAGTTCGCTCAACCCGGACAAACCGGGGGCCCTGCCAACGGGAGCGCGCGTGCGGTCCGCAATGCACGTTGAAATCACCAGCAAAGAAATGGTGGATGGAGCTGTTCAGGCAGCATCGCGGATGCGAAATTGCCATTGAATGCCAGTGAACGACTGCTGCGGCAAACTGGCACACGGTCCACCACATCAGATCAACATGTTGACTCATACTTCTTATAATGATTTGCGACGCGTTTCGCAGCCGACATCGCTACATCGCTAGACAAAAAAAGAACACCATTAAGGGTTGACACACGCTATACAAACTCAACACACCGTAAAAGCACATGCGATGTCATACGACTCACCGACCGTTGTTACCTACCCGCCGTAACATGTGAACGGCCATTTTCAGATTCTAGGACTATTCTGGTTATTTCCCTGTCAATACGTCCCTTCTTCTAACAAAAGGATATGTTACCTGAATGCTAACAATCGACTGTAGTTAACGAGTTCTGCTATGCCTCGTGTTGGGCGTAACGATGCATAGGCTTCAACTTCGGCACTTGCAGTCGCATTCAGCAATATTCTGGCAAATCTAAACGGACGGGCAAGTTTCTTGCTAACTGATCCTACCCCAAAATCATTCATTTCGAAGTCACGCTTCGGTTTTCTCTTGCAAGTGAGTGGGGTAGAAAACACTGCGCTGGATTTCGCGGGTGCTGGAATCGTTATGCACTCTTTTAAATCGTTCCAACAATAAATAACATGGCGTCGCCATATCTGTTAACAACTTTAAGACAAAGCGCAAGTCCGGGTTGCGGGATTCCCCGTTTTACAAGGTACGAAACGAGGTATTCCTCACTCGCCCCCGCACGGAGCCTACGTATGTTATACGGGAGTTCGATCCAACTTATGCTATTCGGGAATTCTGTCCAACGAGCTAGGCCGAGGCAGCAGTGTTTGTGGTCTCTGCAGCAGTTCATTGACTCTTGACCACCTCGTGGTGGACTGTGGCAACCTTGGTTGAAGCACACGTGGTACTTAACACGATTTAAAACTGATGTCGCGAACAGAGGACTATCCGAAGCAGAAGTTGAGTTATCAAGTTGCTATATGTTCTGGCTTCAGGGCGATGCGGTAGAGGTGATAATCTCCACTGCTGACAGGCAGGGGAGGGGGGGGGGGGGACAACAATATGTTTGTACTCCAGCCCAAAAACGGGAGGCTCTTTTTCTCAAAGTAAAGACAATGCAGCTACTGGTTGAGTACAAAAGTGCAGGTCGTGGAGACCATCATAAATGAGCTGGAGAGTAACGAAACGGACCCTTTGCCCCACTTTTGTTTTGTACCTTAAGAGACTCGTTTTCTGGATCATGAGGTCACCCGTATGAATAAGATAGTAAATGCTTTAGATCAGGGGGCCAAATGTTATGTAAAGGAAGCCGCCGAGCTATGACGCTGTGTTCTAGGTTAGGAGGAACCATCTTTATTCAGGATGTCCCATCTCTGGAACAGGAGGCTCTGCTTTGGGCAAGGCAACATTATGCTTTGCTCTATCAGACAGAGTTACCACGGGCATTGGGCCAATTGAAACCCGCGTACTGTGTACTGTAAGTCATCCACATGACGACGGTTAAGTATTCTAGTTGCTGAACTTGGTGTTCGACGCGGGGACGATAAGTTGAGCTTCAGTCCATTGTCGGCGCTCCGTAGCCATGGGTGCGGGAAGCAGGGGGCCTTGGCAGGCCTCAAGAATGTTACAAGATATATGCGTGAATTCTTCACATTTATCGTCTTAAGGTTAAAGCTACACTCACACAAATAGTTGCATCCCCTTCACACGCTTCTTGCCTTGGCGGCCGGGTTATTTAAGCGTTTGCAGATCTGTAAAATTAGGTACATGATAGTGCGTGAAAAGAAATGTGATGAACCCGATCTCTCCTTGAATGCCGGAATGAAGGCCTGACAGGTTTCTTCACGTCCGTCTATGGCTTAGGTGGCATTGAAGGTTGTTTCACACTGCTGCCTTCCGCCTAGACTGTCAGCTGGAGATCTCCGGTAAATTTTCCGAATAGTGATGGAGTGTTCTCACGATCTGTAAGATTATGTAAGTAAGGCACGCAGAGCGTGAAGTTGAGAGTTGTGAAAAACGAGAGAAAGAAATAGGTGCGTATCGCGGGGGGGGGGGGGTTCCAACATTGTCAGTAACTAAACGGCCAATTGTCAAAACGGTTGCGTTTCAATGTTAACGTAAATATGTGGGCTACAGGGACCTTCCGTGACAAAAGTCACGTGCAGGTGAGGGAACGACGCTATCAATTCTAAAGACCGATAACAACACAAATTGCGCCAGTGAGGCGTACGTTGTAACAAATCCAAGGCAAGGGTCAGCTGGGTCAGTGACCCATGGCAAGCTTCCGGGTATTTGTCACACACGCACACGAGCGGCGCGGTCAAGTCCAAAATAACTAAAATGAGCACAATACTCAGCTAGAAAGCGTGCCACTTGAAATTGGAAGCAAATTTAACCTTAGGTGGGGGGCCTATGATGACACACTGTGAATTGAGGATTAGGTAGTGACGGCGTCATGCGGAAAAGTTAACCAGACAAAAGCGCAACAACAATATAGCACCGTGCTAGCGGATGTCATAATCAGTCGCATAGCCAAATGAATACCTATCTAAGACACTGATTTGGCAAGACCTGCAACCCAAAATTGCACAGGACCTTGGGCCTCGATGTGAGGTATGGTGCTGAAATGAGTATGAGGACAGCGCGAGGCGGCTCCTGGAGTCATTCGAACAAATGTCACGGAACGGATACCTTCCCCCACACCGTCGGTGCATGTGAAGATGGGCGAGGAGTTGGCGATTAGCTGGGCGGAACAGAAGAAAACATGATTTAGTGTGACGCACGACGGAGCGGGTACCCAGTGTGGGCGGTGATCGTTCGATGATCAAGTGGCAGGAGTCACGTGCATCCGACGTGAACGCGCGCTAGTGCTGTTTCCTTCAGACGAGCGTCAAATGGCGCGGACCTGTTGAGCGAAGGCTTGAACTTAGCGCAGGCGTGTGAGCGCGGGGGTGCAACTTAACATAATAAGTTTGGGGGAGGAGAGAAAATGGCTTAACCTGTTCACAAAGGGCACCAAATAGATGGGTTTCTCCCTGGGTTTAGTTTGTCATCCCAAAGCTGAGACTGAAGCTCCCCTAACCCGAATAGGAACTGCACCCCGTGAGTGCGGCCCTCTTCTCACTGATATCGATCGTCATGCCAGAGACGTGTGCTTTGCACGTGGAAATCTCGTGCAAGATCAGAGAAGGTGTTCTATGGATGCAATTATATCATGTTTGAGGTGTCGATTCGACGATGTTTGTGATTTAGGCACTGATCAAATGCGGCGAGGGTCGATTGAATAACCTGTTGTGTTTCGATGGGTTTGATATATCTGCTTGCAGCAAAATAGTTATTAGTTCGGTAGCGCAGACAGATAAGGATCGGGTGACACAGAAAGAGAGGAACCTTCTGCAAAGGCTCATCGATAGAGTCATCAATCTTGCTGCAAGAATTGTTCCAGGCAAGCGCGTTCGAGAACACGTCATCCTTGATGTTCCATGATGTGTATGCATATACACATAAACATGCATCGTATCATTCACCAAGCACACAACCCGCGCGCGTTGAACGCGTGGACACCTGCAGATTAGGGATCTCTTCTCAGCTGAAAAGGGCCTCTCCTAGCGGAACCATCATGCAGACCAGCACAACCAGGGCCCCTCGCCTGGAGACTGCAGACACACACGCCGCCGTGCAGGACACCTGCCGCCTGGCGTTCCCTGCCTTCACCCGCGCGACGCTGCGCGGCCAGGCAGATATTTCAACCGCAGACAGCGTTTCAAAAAACGACAGCGTCACACTGACCGTACACTGGCCCGCTAAACCACGAGCCGAAGACTCACTCAGCTGCGCTCAGCTTTACAACACTGCGGCGCAGTGCTAGATTCTGATGGTGAAGCCGGAAGTAGTGCTGGATTCTGGTGGTGGAACTGGAAGTAGTGCTAGGTTCTGGTCGTGGAACTGGAAGTAGCACTAGATTCTGATGGTGAACCTGGAAGTAGTGCTAGATTCTGGTCGTGGAACTGGGAGTAGCGCTAGATTCTGGTCGTGGAACTGGAAGTAGCGCTAGATTCTGGTGGTGGAACTGGAAGTAGTGCTAGATTCTGGTGGTGGAACTGGAAATAGCGATAGATTTTGGTGGCGGAACTGGAAGTAGCGCTAGATTATGGCGGTGGAACCGGAAGTAGCGCTAGATTCTGGTGGTGGAACTGGAAGTAGCACTAGACTCTGGTGGTGGAACTGGAAGTAGTGCTAGATTCTGGTGGTGGAACGGGAAGAGTAAAAGTAGGATCACTATTTTTCGTGTTGCTGTAACTGTTGATTTGTTCCGAGGACGGCCTCACAGTTGTAAAAAGATACGCCCAGTCTCATCTTTGAACGGTACGAATTAATTTTGCAAGATTTTTGGAACCCCTATTTTACGATGGTCGTTCTCGCGCGCACGGTGGTCGCCGCCTGGCTTTACTCGCAGTGGCCAACTCCGTTCGGTTTTATTGAAACTGCAACCCAGATCATCGCTATCCCTGTTCTCGAGATTGCGGGTGCGTAGGCTCAAATATTTTGATGTAATTTTTTTTATTAGTCGATTCTGCAAAAGAGTAAACGGTCTCAGACAAACCTGGATTGGCCTTGTTTGTTTTTTTAAACTCATTTTACCCATTCTATCTGACACCAATGATACCCCGCATTTGCTTTCGGAAATGGGGCCCCCTGAGCAGAACCCTAGGGGGTACATTATCGTTCCCCGTCAAGGACCATTCTGTCCCACCGCGGGCTGTGTTCCGGCTGCCATTCTGGTGACACGGGGCGGGATCCCCTGGTCGATCCGGAGGCCCTTAGAGGGATACACATCACATTGGTCCTCACCTTGACGGGGAGACCTCCTGACCCGCATAATTGACCCCGATTCGACGCAGGCACCCTCATTGACGTAACAACATCCCTGATCGCCGTAGATGGTCCAATAATTGGCACATATATTCCAGTTCGGCTTAACGGGCCCGTGTTGGAATTGGGTTGGAAAGCCCACCGTTTGGTGCTGGGGGCCATGACGGGCACAGAACCCTTCCACTGCTTAAACGTGAACAATCGTTATAAGTTATCACGTTGGCTTTCGTTGTCAGAGGGCCTCGGCCAGCGCAAGAGGCCCTCTGTCATTCGGGGTCTCATCCCCGTCCCTGTTGAGCAAATCTTCTCCTGACCGACTCGAGGCCATCTGTTGACACAGATAATTATCCGTCGACGCAGATGGCCCAGAGGCCCTGTTAGACACTATGAGTCCCTGAGCGATACAGGAGCCCACATTGTTGCAGAGGCCCGACCAATGCAAATCGCGGGCCCGGCCGTGCCCCTTCTTGGGTAGTGGGCCCGAGCTCAGACCGACACGGAGGCGACTTCGGTGTAGGTGATCTATGGTCAACTAGGACGCCCGTATTGTCTCAGGGGTCCTCATACTGTTCAAGAGGATCTCTGATTGATATTTCAGGGTATGACCCAAAGAACTGCGATTCTGGATGTGACCTGCAGCCGGTCCTTTCGGCCCTTGCGTCCTCCAACTAGACTTTTGACAGTCGACTCTGTTGGGCCACCCAGACCACTCTTCGGGCCTCATCGAATGCTACCCTTGGTCGCCTCGGGGCCCAATGCGAGCACAGGACCCTACGCTAAGCACTATGGGCCCCTGATAGATGCAGATACAAGGCCCCGACCAGTGTAACTCACTGGCCCGGCTTTGTGGCTGATTGGGAAGTGGGCCCCCCGGCCCATACCGACAAGGAGCCGGCTGCGCGGTACTGGTGGTCCCTGACCAACACAGAGGCCCATATAGATTCAGGGGTCCCCGATCGGCGCAAGGGGTCCTTTAACTGTCATTTGGGGGTCCGTCCCCGTAGGTCGGGTCCCCTGAATAAGCCTCTGACCAGCCCTCTCCGCCCTTAGACCCTCCAATCGGGTCCTTGATTTTCTGAACCGGTGGGTTCTCCAGGCTCTTCGGATCTTTTCGAACAATGCATCTGGCCAACTCGGGGCCCCTTGCAAGCACAGGGCTCCCGTTAGGCACTGTGGGGGCCTGACAGACGCCGGGGCCCCGACCAATGTAAATCGCTAACTCCAGCTTTGCCTAGTTTGGGAAATGGCCATCAGGCCCATGCCACCAGGGAGCCGACTGTACGTTACTGGTGGTGTTCGTCTGACATATAGGTCTTTCTTGACATTCGACCCAGGGGGCCCCAGATTGGCGCGTAGGGCTCTCTACCTGTCATTGGAGCGCCCGGCCCTGCGTGCGGGGGGCCATGAGTACGACCTCCTGCCGGCCTTTCGGGCTCTCAAATCGGACCCTTAATCATAGGTTTCGAGGGATCCGAAGGGTCCCTCAAAACTTAAGGGGAGGGGTCCGTACATCCTGTGCCCCCCCCCCCCCCCCTCCTCTGCCTGCGCTACTGGCAGGATCACGGAACTTGATTTCGCTCGGTAACGTTTGATGATTGTGGTTGATCTGTAACGTGATTACGTTCTTCCTCTCTAAGTTCTTGCAGCGCGGTATTCACATGCATAAAAATGTTGCTTTAAGCCGGGCATCAAATGTCCCGTGAAACTAAAGCGTCCCCAAACCGCCACTCATCACCAAGGCGCACACGGGAGAAAGGGCGTCGACGGTTCTCTTGCCGCCGAAAGAGATGAGTTGGGGGGGGGGGGGGGGAGAAGACACGCCCCGTGGCGCGGGGGACGGGGTGTACTCTCAACTGTCTCCACATGAGAGAATTACAGGGGGCCACCATACATCACACACCCTTTTCCTTATGTTTTTGCGCCACGAGAGTACGCGTCGTGGTAAGGTTCATTGGGATTGGGGACCATATAGCACACCGTTCCTGACGGCTCTGAGTAGGAGGGGGCGCATGCCCCCCCCCCCCCCCCCCCAGCTACGTTTCAACTACCGACAGGTACCAGTCAAATCAGAGATATCCCATATCACATTCACAAGCGACGAGTCCCATGTGATGTGTTCAGAAGTCATTACCGGCTAAACGGAGCATCGGCAGGATCACCACGGGGTCAAAGGACGCCACGCGCAAGCATGGTACCACTTTCACCGGTTGATCAGCGGTAATGACCTTATGTATCCTCACGAGCTTACGCGCCTGACTGGATCGTCACACTGTCACTGGTGTCAGCAGCGAGGTGGAGACATCGATAACCGCTGGCGGCAAGGCCGTCTCGAAACTCAAGTGTCAGGGTGCACCCCATGTCCTCGCCGCATCTCGCCGCGGCGTCATCTGGGTCGCTGCCAACAGCTGTCGGATGCTGCGCTGCTAAATAGCGGTAGCACGAATCCAGCTCGGCAATTAGCGGTCTCGCAGGCCGCCGTTACGTCACATCAGCACGATTCATCAGCCTCCGCGGCACATTGATCGCAATGCGGCCTCGCAGGCTGCAGCATTGTCTGAATATTGCATCTCACTGGGATCAGAAGCGCAGCAGAAGACGAGATAATCACCCCAAATCAGAGCAAATAGTGGCGCCGGGCGGCGTCCGACCCAGCCGTCCAGCGGCTTGCTCTTGACATCAGCGCTGGCAGGTCGCCTCCGGGCGGCCCATATAAACCAAGGCGTTGAAGGCATCGATATCAGTGCACCCGCAGCTTCTCAGTGACCAACGATGTACACCCAGGTGAGACGCTCGGCACTGTGGCACCGTGTCAGCGGGGACGTTCGCGTTCGCTTGCATCTCGCCTCACCTTTAGACTTCCCTCTGGAGTGGTTACTTGCTTCGAAATCGTACAGTAGACTTGTCAAAAGGGTTCAGTTGGGAACTTCCAACTGTGAAATTATTTTGCATTATCCTTCGGTTTCATTGGTGTGCGCCATTCCTGTCTGGCTACCACCGCCATGGGCAGCGGCACGTGTTTCGTTTGAGCATTAGGGTGTCGGCTGGGCGCACCGCCAATTGTTATCAAAGGAAACGGCAAGACGAGCCAGCCATAGACCATAATTCATGTACGCATCTCGAGAAGCACGCCGTAACCAGAATGCGAGAAACCAAGCTAGTGCGGATCTGTTATTCCGTTTTGCGTCTGACGCTGTCGCCTCGGTCTGCAGGCAGCTGTCGCGTTCGTGGCGCTCTGCGCCGTCGGCGTTCTGGCCGCCCCACCCGGCCGGTACCCGTCCACCGCGGCACCGGCGCTGGCCCGGTACCAGTTCCAGTACGTCGTCTCGGACGAGTACGCCGGTCTTGAGCACAGCCGCGCAGAGAGCCGGGACGGTGACCAGACCACAGGCTCGTACCGCGTGCTGCTGCCCGACGGCCGTGTGCAGCACGTGCAGTACATCGTGGACGGCGACCAGGGGTACGCGGTCGAGGTGAGCTACGAGGGCGAGGCTCGGCCGTACCAGCCGGTGCCGCGGTACCCACCCCGGTACCGGGCGCGCACCTACACCCTGGGCGCCACGACCGAGGCGCCCCTGCCGGCCACCCCCGAAACTCCGGCCATCGAGACTGTGCAGGACAGCGTGGAGCCTCAGGCGGAGGAGACTGCCGAGCAGACGGAGACGGCTTCATATGAGGCGGAGACGGCTGCCGAGCAGACGGAGACGGCTTCACATGAACCGGAGACGGCGCCCGAGCAGGCGGAGACGGTGGTCGAGCAGACGGAGATTGCAGCATACGAGCCGGAGACGGCGGCCGAGCAGGAGGAGACGGCAGCATATGAACCAGAGACGGCAGCCGAGCAGACGGAGACGGTGGCGTACGAGCCGGAGACGGCGGCCGAGCAGGCGGAGACGGCAGCATATGAACCAGAGACGGCGGCCGAGCAGACGGAGATTGCAGCATACGAGCCGGAGACAGAGGCCGAGCAGCCGGAGACGGCGGTCGAGCAGGCGGAGGCGGAGCTGGCGCAGACGGACGCGGAGGACGCAGCTCCCGGTGTCACCCCGTCCGCTGTCTATCGTCAGGATATTGCATAGTGCAAGTCGCGGCCAGGAGCAGGAGAGGCCAGCGGCCGAGCTTACCAACAAGTGTCGTGCGAACCATGTATTACAGTGTAGCGGCACTCCTGTTCACGCGACGAAAATACAGCGCCATCTGTGCGATCCGGCTTGTAAAAGCGGCTACCAAAAGCGCCTACCGAGACCATCTCATCGCCATTATGAGGAACCATAAGCAACAATGAAACACACAGAGTGAACACGACCAAGACAACAGTGGTACACATTAGCCTGCCATACACGGGTCACATAATTTTAACACAGAGCGTAGCCCGGGGTAGTAAAAGGATCACATGGAAATCGCAAAAACGTCACAAATTAGGATAAACTGGGCGAAGCAGACCAACATACCAATGAAGACAAAACGTGCGAATAAGCTGAGCACGAAACAAAATGTTTTCAATGAAAATGATTTTAAATATCAAGACTGAACTACATTTCACGAGATACGTGCATAGCAATGATAAAAGTTTGGCTTGGATGCATGGATTCAAAGAATCAGATGAAAACTTAAAATTTCGATCAGAACAGAAGTTGACAATTCGAAGGCCAGTGCATGCAACCACGATAATAAACGAAATGCCATAGAACATTGTAATCAGAGCAAAATGACCTATTAAAATGTATCAGACATCTGCTTCCTCCAATTAGAGCTGGTCATGGACGTACGTGCGGAGCAGCAGACAGTCCAAAAATGTCCAGAGTCAAAAACGAACATACCCATAACGTACAAAGTCAAATTCGAGCATACCAGCTGTGCCTCTACGCAGACTACCTTTCATTTCATAGCCTCGTCATTAAGCACACAAAACACGTAAATCACCATTAGGAAAGCTTTACTGAACTGAAAAGCCTAACACGGCTTTAAAGTCCTGTCTCAGAATAGACAGCAGCCGACGCGTTCCGCTCCATCCGTCCTGCGGCTGCTGGCAGGCCAGTGTCTGCGCTGCTCCGTCTTCCCCTGCCCACCCCTCATGGCGCCCAAAGACAAACACATTCCCAGCGGCCAAAGCCTACAGTCCCGCGGTGCAGCAACTCCAGCGCTGCACCTCACCGCTGGCTGGATAAAGGCCAGCCGCTCGGAGCGTCGCCCCCGGCCACAGGGCCGCCATGTGACTCGGAGGGCGGGGCTACAGCCGGGGGAAACACGACGGCGGCCTTCGCGCGGCATCAGCGGGCGACCGACGACATTAGAAACAGCTTACCGCTATCACAGAGGAGGCGCGTGCGATGACCCAGCAATGACCCAGCAGTAACTCGCTGCCACAAACGGTCCAATGGCCACCGGAGCGATCAGAGCCAGTCTCTCAGACACCACCGCGCAGCACCGGAGGAGGCCGACGCACCAGCGTTCAGCAACAGCTTCGCGGGCAGCGCCGACGGACGCGGGAGCGCGCGCTACATGTTCAGCAGGCGCTTCCACCACGTTTCGTCGGTGAACTCGCCACGCTCCTTCGCCTTCTGCAGGTTCTCGCGGTACCCGTCGAACGAGATGTAGGGCTTGATGCGCTGGTCGGCGTCCAGGGACAGAGAGTAGGGGTTGGTGTTCTGTTCGGACGAGTTGGTGCTGCTGCTGGTGGTGCTGGGGTGGCCCGTGGTGACGAACGTGTTAGAGGTGACGGTGCTGGCGCCGCCGGACGACCGCAGCGGGTAGCTGAAGTTGCGCACCAGCAGCGTCATGTCCTCGCAGCGCTGGCACCGCTTGTTGCCGGAGTTGATGAAGCAGTCCTGGTGGTCGCGCGCCACGCGGTTCACGACCGTCTGCGCCACGCCCGCCAGCGTGGTCGACTTGGCGAACTGCAACAGCGCAGGCCGGCTCTCGGTGGCGGACCGGTACGAGCCTCGCAGCGGCGTGCGTGCCGTCACGCTCGCCGTCAATGCCCGATGAGGCCCACAGATGGCAACGGGCCGCACTCAGTCCACAACCGCCCGCAACCCACACGGCACAGGTTTTCCGTTGTAGCACGCAAGGAAGCCTTATTCTAAGGTCCCTAAAAGCAATGAATTAATCGCGACACACGTTTGGATTTACGAATGCAATGTTGTCCTTTGGGTTTGATTCGTAGTACAGCCCCAACAGTAGTGGGATTTTGCACAGGACGCACCTCGTACTTGGGCCACATTCACAGTTACACTACAATAAACTGACGTCAAGGTGAGAAGACCATCGTCAGCACCCACCACCACGTCAATCCTGATCGCTCAGTTGGTTAGCACGCCCGCCTTTGGATCTACCTAGCCTTGGCGGGGTGGGTTCGAGTCGGTTTAGGCACCCGCTATTTACCCCCGCACCTCCCCCTGACAGACGTGGCCAGCGGCCCGTGGCAGCGGCCACGCTAAAGGTCAGGTGACGTCAGAGAGCAGGGCGGACCGTGCTAAGCGTGGCAGTATGTTAAAGTTTCGCCGCCCAATTCTGCCGTTGGCCTGCAGTTAAACGATCGGATAGCACGGGACAGGGCTTGTACATCAAACACTGCTTAGCCTGAACTCTGATCGCAGACATCCAAAAATTTTAAAGGACTGGATTAGATTTTCAAAAATGGCATCAGCTGACCCCTCCCAAACTGAATCAGGTCTCCTACCTTAAGCATGAGTCACCGTGCAGGAGCGTAGTTTCCCAAAATGAGTTACACGGGACAGTGGGCGGCTGAACCGGGAAAAATGAAACTTATCCCAAAAATACGCGGACAATCTGTTTTTCCCTGGCATCGTCCCGTTTTAAGCAAATTTGAGGAATTTGAGCTAAGGTCGGGTGGGCTGAAGCCCCCTCCCCAACTGAAATGAAACTGCACTTCTGCCCCGGTGTCTGCTCTGTAGGGCCCGGTAGGACACGTCAGTCGGGATTCGCTTCTGGCAATAGGGAGATCAGCTCTAGACGTCCTGCGCGAACTTGGCGTGTTCATAGCAAACGAAGATCTGCTCATTACCAACGTAGGCAACTACACACATCCTGTGAGCACGACTCACCATTTCCCTTATCTCACTGCAGATAACAGCGGGGTACTAATCTGACGGCCGTGGCCGCGTGCCAGTACCCGACAGCGCTGTAGCGTCACCCCGGCGACTAACCTCCTCCACTACCAGCTGGGCCACCTCCTTGTTGACCTGCGGCTCGTCGCGCACCTCCTCCAGGGCGCGGTAGAGGCCGCGCGAGAGCAGCAGCAGGAAGCGGCACGACTCGTCCAGCTGCACGCTGACGAAGTCGGGCTCGGCCAGCGCCGGCTCGGCGCAGCAGGCGCGCAGGCGCTCGTCCTCGCGGTAGCCGCCCTTCACCCGGTAGTTGCCCAGGCAGCGCGTCACCTCCTGGCCGGCCAGCGTCTCGCCTGGGGGCAAGGCACGCGCCGCTCAGTGGGACCGTGTCACGAGCCGCTCAGTGGGACCGTGTCGCGAGCCGCTCAGAGGGACCGTGTCACGAGCCGCTCAGTGGGACCGTGTAACGAGCCGCTCAAAAGGACCTTGTCATGAGCCGCTCAGAGGGACCGTGTCAAGAGTCCCTCAGAGGGACCGTGTCATGAGACGCTCAGAGGGACCTTATCATGCGCCGCTCAGAGGGACTGTGTCATGAGACGCTCAGGGGGACCGTATCACAAGCCGCTCAGAGGAACCGTGTAACGAGCCTCTCAGAGGGACCGTGTCACGAGCCGCTCAGAGGGACCGTGTCACGCGCCGCTCAGAGGGGCCGTGTCACGCGCCGGGGGCGTGCCAACCAGCAATCGAGGTTGACGAATCACGCGGCTCGTCACCAGGTCCTCCGTCTCACCTGGGTAGGCCGAGGTGCAGCCTCGGTGCTCCAGCAAGGGCCAGCGGGATTTCAACGACGGTAGTAATACACTTCCGGCAACAAAGTCACCACTACAACTGGCGTCCGCAGTTTGGGCGCGCCGTAAAGCACGCATTGCGCTTGTTCACACGGGATTCGTTCTCCCAAACCATGCACAGCGAAAAGCCATGCGCGGGCTTCGCCTCCAGAGGCGAGTGACATGGTTAACAAGAACGCTATATGGCCAGCGTGTGTACGGGCCGGCGAGGCTTGACGCACCTTGTCTGAGCGGCGTCACGTCCATGCCGAGCTGCTGCAGACGCAACAGCTCGTCCTCGTTGGTCAGCGTATGGTCAGTGGTCAGCTGCAGTACCTGTCAGACGCACCAGGGACAGAGCGGGCGGACGTCATTCACCTCATCTATGTCATGTCCGAGTCACCAGATCCACTAGCACAGCATAATGCACCAGGTGATGAATCACGTGAAAATAACTGAGCGTGACGCCTATATACACAAAAGGGCATACTGCTGGCTCACCACTCTCGCGCCCAGACGGAGATCACCCCAATCATACTGGATGGCCAGTTTCTAGCGCGCCCGGGTAAGGTCACGACCCCGCATAATGACCGCACCAATGGCCCTATTGGATTGCAGTTCAATTTCACAAAGCGAACATGGCTTGCATCCAGTTCAATGAAACATAACTACGAGCACACGCCATTTTGGATCGCGCAGCGCGAACACTCGTGTTCGAAAGGCTGCGTCTCACCGGGACTTCTGATCTACGAAGAACTTACCAGTCGGAACACAACGCAACCGTTACCTTTTCCGGACCGATGACTTGAAAGCATGGCACAATCACAAAGCTCGTGGTTTCATACCTCCGTCTCGGGCGAGACCGCACCGTGCCCGGGGTCATCCGCCAGCCGCGCCGCCCACCTTCAGAATGCCGTTCTCGTCCGTCTTACAGAGCAGAGCGCGCGAGTCCCCCACGTTGGACACGTACAGCCGGTTCTGGTGGACCACCACCACGACGGCCGTGGTGCCGCCGCTGATCCGAGAGTTGAGCTGGGTCAGCTTCTGCATCGCCGCCGGATGATCCCGGTTCGCCTCGAACTCGGTCAGGCCCTGCGCGCGCCGGCCGCCTCTTAAGCACGACACGGGCGGCTTGGCGGGGACCAAGGCCCGATCACACAAGCCACTAACACGGCGCAAGGAGAGCACCCATCGGCAGCGTGTCGCCAGACGACGGCTGCGCTCAAATCGGCATCACCGGCAACAGGGTGCACGTCGCTGGTAAATGTCACGCCGGTGTCCTGCAGCCTTCACCAGCGCTAGGATAAAGGTTCAGAGTGGCCGCGTACTCGGAGCTCGCTGCTCGCCATCTGTCCGCTCGTGTTCTCATCCGGGACCGCCATTGACGTGAGAGACGAGACGTCTTGATCGGCTATATGGCCCGTATCCAGTCCGTTCGAAACCGGTCAGCCAAACAGACCGAGGAGCGTCGGCCTGGCCAGAACGCCAGGCCGACCCCGGCAGGCGCTGCGCCAGCTGCCGCCCCCGCCCCCCTCCCCTCCGACACCGCTCCAGCGTCGGCGTCACTGACCGCCGGTATCTCGGAGAGCAGCATGGCGCGCTGGGCCAGCGCCTCGTCGATCATCTCGAAGAAGCCCTTCTCGACGGCCAGGAACGCCTGCTGCAGCGCCACGCACACGCTCTCGTCCGAGCTGCCGCGCCGGGTCAGCTGGCCGAAGCTCAGCTCCGCTGCCGGCGCCGGCCGCGCGGGTCAGGGCGCCGGCCGGCCTGCCCGCGGACTCACCGCCACCGCAAGCACGACGCACAGAGGCCGGCAAGTTGTCGAGGATTATAGCGTGTCGAGGTGTGTGATCAAGTGAACACATTTTAAGCAGCATTAGTGTTACCATAGTTTTGACGAGCTTCCCAGCCATACTTTCTTAACGAATTCCATTCTGCGGTTTTGGGAGATTATTGCAAACGCCACACCCAATTTATGATCAAGACATTCACGTATGCACCCGGAGAGGGAGAGGGGGGGGGGGGGAGGGGCACCGTAGATTTACGACGCAATCAGCTGCTGAGGCTGTATAGCGTCCCCTCTTCTCACCCTAGCAGGAAAGGCGGGCACAGCAGGCAATCGAACCCCGCACCTCTGGCTTCCCAGACGCGTAGTGGTTAACGCAGACACGTTAACCACCGCACTAGCAGCAGCCTGGGGGGGGGGGGAGGAGCAGCCCAAATAATTTAATGTTTGAGCATTAGGTCCATGGCCGTGCATGGCATGAATGGCCTAAAAAGTCTACAATAATTGTTGCAACTAGCAATCCCTTTTAGAAGTGCCACACCAGGTTACAACAGGGCAGGGCACAGCAGGGCAGAGCAGGGCAAGGCAGGGCAGAGCAGGGCAGGGCAGGGCAGGGCAGGGCAGGGCAGGGCAGGGCAGGGCAGGGCAGGGCAGGGCAGTGCAGGGCAGGGCAGGGCAGGGCAGGGCAGGGCAGGGCAGGGCATGGCGGAGCACAGCAGAGCAGGGTGGAGCAAGGCAGGGCAGGGCAGGGCAGGGCAGGGCAGGGCAGAGCAGAGCAGAGCAGGGCAGAGCAGGGCAGAGCAGGGCAGAGCTGGTCAGCTGATGTCTTCCTCACCTGGCATTCGCTGCTGGGCGAAGTGGGCAGCGCGCGACCCATCATGGCCGTCGAACACGCCGTACAGGCAGAGGTCGGTGTCCAGCTCAAAGTGGAAGCTGTAGTCCTCCTGTGTGTGCTCCTGGGTCCGGTAACCGTCACGCCGGTACGCCTTGTTCGTTTCGTAACCAACGCCTGGAGAGCAAGCACTGATGCATTCATGGCTACAGAAGATGTGGGTGCTGATGCTAAGTGACCACATTATACTCACATACTTATAAAGCCTAGGTTGCTGGCAACCCTGTGTTTGCCCTCAACTTAAACTAATGCAAATATTTGAAGCTGGTCGAAAAAAGAAGTCATATGCATAGTGCATAGCATCACACATTATTTGCCTCCTCCAGCAGGCACAGGGAACATAACACAGTCGTTAGGTGTGGTAGAATGTAGCTGCTTGTGGCCAGCAAATGAACACCCTATCCCAAAAGCGTGATCATGTAAGGTTTGTAAGTGTGAAAATATCCCAAGAAGTGCATGAACAAACGATTGATCAAAGTCAGCCGTTTCATGCATTATTACCATACCAATGTCATGGTTCTTCTATGTTTCCAATGGTCCTTACAAATTGGTTCATGATGACTGATCCGACAAGCAGGATCCCACACACAGCTACCCAGCACCAGCCATCATCCCATAGAATGCACATAGCACAGCTAGCCCTCAGACTTCAACACGACAGCTCGGCCTGGGCTTGGCTGCCCTCAACAGGATGTCACCGGCGGAAGTGGCAGGTCGGTCGTACCAGAGTTGTTGCAGACGGGCAGGTCGTCCGTCCAGCTGCTCTGCTGCTGTGGCAGGCTCTGCAGCGGCAGGTGGGGCCCGCTGGACGCCGTTGGAGTCGACGACATCCTGTCTTACTCTTGGGGCAGCCAACTCAAAGCTGCAAAAGCACAATGTGCACACAACTTCAGTCTGCTTTATGCTGCATCTCATTCGACTGGAAGTGGCACTAATTGTAGTATCTAGTGTCTGATGGGAATCACAGAGACTTGAAACTGGTCTGCCCAAATAAATCAATGTTCAAGAATCGAACATGGCATGCAATGGAGCAGCATGTGTGAATCACGGGATCATACAACATACAGGTTTATATTTGTTTTCATTCATGCTATGTATATTACATTTCTCTTCAGCTTAGGCTAATGTAAAATAAAAATTCTTTCAAAAACTGTTGAGAGGATGCTAAGTGGCATTTATTCTAACAACAACTGTCAGAAATGTCAATAAAGAAGCACATCAAACCCATTTTATTAAAGCCCATGTATGTGCCCATGGTCCTATTCATTCTGGTATTCATGTCATAAAGTTCCTAACCAAATCAAGCCCATGCAAACCCAACTTGTGCAGGACTACAGATGTTGTCAGGGTGCAGACAGTACATGCCAGGTTGTGAGCATCTAATATGGAGTGGTCACACATAGAGCCATCTTGTTGTCCCATTTGTGCCCTTAATATAGTGAGAGCAGGAAAACCCACACTGAGGATGAGGGGGGGGGGGGGAGCTGGTGGACTATTTTTGGGTGTGTTTCTTCCTAGCTGATATCTATAGGGTCAATGCTAAACTTTGCCCATTGCCCTGTCTACATAGGTTTCTTTGAAACCCATAGAAAATACAAACTCCATTTTCACCAGAATCCAATAGCTCTACCAAAAGTCTGAAGGTGGAGATTAAGGGAATATCACTGTTTTTAGGCACTTCTTTTCATGCAATGCCACAAGTATAAGGTCAATGTCCAAAGAAGTTGAGATGGATATATTGACATCCCTATGGTGGAACACATGCTGAGGTCCGCTCCAGCAGAATCAATTCTACAGCCACCAAGCCATGGTCCACTCACCCAGAATCAATTCTATAGTCACTGAGCCATGGTCCACTCAGCCAGAATCAATTCTGCAGCCACCAAGCCATGACCCACTTAGCCAGAATCAATTCTACAGTCACCAAGCCATGGTTCACTCAGCCAGAATCAATTCTATAGTCACCAAGCCATGACTCCTTGAACCTAAACTTAAGTTTAATCAAAGTTGTGCTATGCTAGTTGGAGTCAGAGAAATATGTGACACCTGCAGTGAGTCATTATCAGGATCCATTGATGTAGAGTTTAATATAAGTCTATCCAACATGTTCATGATAATTGATTGCTTTGAGAGCACTGACCACAAGTAATTTTGTACCCATGGCCCTGCTTATAGCTAAAGCTCACAACATGGAGAATTCCTTTTGGTTTAGTACTTGGAAACCAGACATTTCTCACACCATGCCTAAGATTTCCACTACCACTTACCATTTCCATTATAAATATATCATGATGGTTGCCTGACATATATATCAACATTCTGGACATGAAAGATATGTTTTATATATATATATATATATATATATATATATATATATATATATATATATATATATATATATATATATATATATATAGCATTCTATTGAGTAGTTTTGAACAGCTCAGCCAAAACATGAGGTAACAAGCAAATTCTCATCTCTTCACAAGTGCAAAAGACATGCTCATATAATACCAATCCTATGTAGATGTAACAAACATCTCAAGATACTCAATAGGTGGATAACAGGCATTACTTTAACTGCTTAGATTTGTGGAAGTGGTGGGCATTTCACAAATAAATGAATCCAATTGCAATCAGGTTGGCTTTTGTGAAAGAAGTTTGCACTTCCAAGAATAAATTTGACTCCAATAGAATGTTCTACATCAGGATGAATTGCAATATGTGAAGCCTTCACTTCTTATCCATAGATATCAAAGTGAATGCAAAAACCAAGTTTGCATTTAACTTGGCATATTGTGTGCACTATGCAGGCACTGGCAATGAGCTGTGACAAAATGAGTTCAGTGCTCCAGTTTGCACACCAAACTCAGTGCTCACAATATATATGTTGAGCAATTTGCTGCACATAGGCATAAGGTGTTGGACTATGATTGGCAGTTGGCAGTGGCAGAGTTGAAATAAATTCATCTTCGGCCATCCTTCATGGTCCAGACACCCCATGGTACTGCACACAACCTTGCAAAGCCATGTGGACTAGCAGACATACATCACGCTGTTGGGCTTCACCTGTCACCTTAAGAGTAAAAAAAAAATATTCACACTCTATCGCATAATACCTGCGTCTTCGCTTCGAACTGGCTAATCCCAAGAGCTAAGCTCATATCCCTATCCGCTCTTAACCTAAGCCGCGAATGTAGCGCCCGCGTCAGAATGCGTCACTTCGAGGCCGTCAAGTAGGCAAAGGTGTATATTTGTTTCCAAATAGCCAAAGACTTTTTTCCTAGAGAATTCTATGGATATTTGGTGGCATCTCGGGATTCCAGAAATCTCCCTCAATTTGTTGAGCCTCCACGAACAGGACGAGCTTCGGTATTTGATCTCGGTTTTGGTGGTAACTTTAAGATCGTGATGAGTGGACCGGTTGTCGGGTTGTTCAGGTATCCTGCCCCGTCTGCCTTAATCCAGCTCTAGAAACTGATCTCTATGCACCACGTTGAAAATAATATTGATATGCCGCGAACTTGGTGACTGCCCTGTACCGCATGGCAGCCGACGGAGAGATGGGAGGGAATGCGTTTCCCCTGAGCAAATGGCAAGGTACCTGCTTAGCAGGCGCGCATCCAGAGCCTTGGCAAAGAGGCACTATCATAGTTGAGAAGCTGCCCCTTGATAGTGAAAGACCCCCTAAACAAAATTGTCGGATACGACCCATTGGTGAATGAAGGTATGTTTTACTTTTTTGTTTTTGTTTTTCATTTTTTCTCCTCAAGCTGTAATAGAAGCCAGTGGCGACCGCCAGATAAATTTTGCCTGAACCTCATAGCCAATCAAGTGAAGAAATCATGCGTGAAACGACGGCATGAAATAAATCGCTAGCGCTCTCCATTTTCCAATAGTTCAGTGGACTCTTTCTGAACCGAAAGACTCATAAGCTTTGTTAGAATTTTTATGTGGGTTGTATAGAGATATTAGGGACTCTGCGAATGCAGACTGTAGGTCGAAATGTGTCAGCAATTTGTATTGATATGGCCAGGCCATGTTTGTCGGGAAATGCTCAACATTCAGCCATAATCGATCAGTGGTACAAATTATGCAACGTAGTTTTAAACATGCGCGCTCACAAGTTCTTACAGCCAAAAATATCAACGCCAGCGTTTTAGTCCCAATAGGCCGCACAGTACAATGATGAGGCATCTGAAAGGAGTACCCTTGGACGCGTGAGTACATCAAATCTTACGTTTAGAAGGAAGTCCAGGTGTAAATTTCACCGGCGCGATTTTTAGACTGATGAGAAGAACGAACGGGTCTTCACAGCACCGCGAAGGGCTGCTGGAATCTGGTGGTGCAACTGGAAGAGTAAAGGTGGATTTTTTTTTTTCGTGCGGCTGCTGTAACTGTTAAACTGCCCAGAGGACGTCTTCAAAGTTGAAAAAGATCCACCGGTCTCATCCTTGAAGGGTGTGAGTTACGTTTGAAAGAGATAGGGGATCATTATTTCAGGACGGTCATTCTTGCGCTTCCGGCGCCCGCCGTCTTGTGTTACTTGCAGTGGACAACGCGCTTTGGTTTCATGGAAACTGCAACCCATAGCACTCCTGTCCTTGCTCCCGATATCTCGAACGCGCAGGGTAAAACCTTTCTATGTAATTTTTCACTCATTAATTCTGCAAAGGATTCAACGTTCGCAGACAAACCTTGGATGGCATTGTTTGTTTTAAAACTCATTTCGATCCACCCTTTCAGCACTAATGAGACCCCATATCTCTTTCCGGGCAAGATCCCCTTGAGAAGAACACCAGGGAGCACATATTGTTCCCGGTCAAGGGCTGAAGGGCCATTCCATTCCAACGCGGTGTGTCTTCCGACTGTCATTTGGGTGACATGGGGTGGAATCTCCTTGTCGATCCAGAGGACTTTAGAGGGATGCATCATATGACACTGGTTTTCGGCCTGACACGAGAGGCCTTTTGACCCGCGCAGTTGACCCCGGATCGACACAAAAACCCTCAATGACGCAACAACATCCGTGATCGCCACAGATGGTCCAATAATTGGACAATAGACTTCAGTTCGACTCAACGGGCCCCTAGTGGAATTGTGTTGGAGGGCCCACCGTTCGGTACTTGGAGCCCTGGCTGGTACAGGACCCTTCCATTGTCGTAATATGAACACTCATTATAAGTTCGCACGTTTCCTTTCATTGTCAGAGGGCTCCAACCAACGCCAGAGGTCCTTTGTCATTCGGGGTCCGCGTCCCTGTTGAACAAATGTTCTCCTAACCGATTCGAGGCCCCTTGTTGACACAGAACACCCTGTTAGGCACTATGACCCTGACCGATACAGGAGCCCCGCATTGTGTCAAGGACCTCGAACCTTGCTTATCGCGGACCTGGGCCATGTTCCCGTTTGGGAATGGGGTCCCAGGGCTCAGACGGACTTGGAGTCGACTATTTGGCGCAGTGTTGAGGCCCTATATGATGGGGAAAGAACCACACCACGTCTCTCATCTCGTGCCATGCGTTTTCTACGGTTCTTCTATATGTATGGCTTAATGTTTGATTCGAGTCAATGAATTACGAGTTACACGATATAAAGGAAGATGCAGCGATGATGAAAATGCGTCAAGAGCTTAAGAAAGGCCTTCAAAGTCAAACAAACCCGTCTTTTCCAAATCGGTCAAGTTTAAGATAGTAGTCTAAGCCTCATTCCTCGGATAAAACTACTGTCCTAAACTTGACCGATTTGGAAAAGACGGGTATGTTTGCCTTTGAATATATGAATATGGGTATGTGAAATGTGTTCCTCGCTAATGCACTGAACAAATTACGTAACTTTGGTCAAGATCAGACACGGGTGCGGTACGGCTCTGGGAGGTCATAACGGCCGGTGGCAGGTGGTGCCAGGACGAGGCCGCACCATAAGAAAACGCCCACCAAAGCGCCGGCCACCGCCCACCTCATGATGCGCTCACTCATGGCGGTCCGAGGGGTGAACAGCGACTGGATCGCCAAGGTGGCACGGGGGCCATTTAGGACCTTGAAAACGTCGATGTGGTCGCGGCGCGTAACAAGGTCACTGATTCTGCCCCAGGCCAGGATCTTGCCACCGGTGCAATACGATTTTGGCGCACCCGAGACGATCCTGGCCGCGAAAGTGATGACTTTTTAGACCCGGTCGAGATAGAAGGCGGCCTGGCCGAGCCCTAATAAGAGGGCCCTTATAAAAGTCATTAGACTCATATTTCAGGTCACAGCAATGTAGGTGAGGAGCCGGGCCCGATTCTAATCGGCCCATGATCTTTGGTAACGAGGGGTCCTTTGGACCCCCGCAAACACGGCTTGTGACGACTCGGGTCACTTGTCGACGCAGGACTTCCTGTTGGGTACTGACCGACACCATCATGGCTTCAGTGACCCCAAGTAATGCAAATCGCGTGTTTAGCCTTGCCCTTGCTTAGGCATAGCCCCCCCCCCCCCCCCAGGGCTCAGACCAACATGTAGCCAACTGCTCAGTGTTGGTAGATGGCCCCTGGCCGAAATAGAGGCCCGCACGAGCAGAGGCTCCCAATCGATGCAGGAAGCCTTCCGACCGGTGTTTGAGGTCACGGCCTTACGGGTAGGAAGGCGTTCCTGGTGAAGCTTACGGCTAGTCCTTCGGGCCCGTGGTCATCAATCAAAAAGGCAATGGGCCTTCCAATCGGGCTCTTGGTCTTTGGTCCCGAGGGGCCCTCCAGCTCTTCTTCGGACTTCTTCAAAGCCCGCGACCGACTCGGAGCCACCAGTCGACACATGATCTCCTGTTAGACACTGTGGGCCCCTGACAGACACAGGAACCCCAATAATTTCGGGACCTCAGACCAATGCAAATCGTGGCGCCCCGGCCTTGCTCCTGCTTGGGAAATGGGTCCCCAGGCTTCATCCTGACAGAGAGCCAACTGTTCGGTGTTCGTGGCCTCTGGCCGGTTGCGACAGCCGCATTGCCTCAAGGGGTCCTCAAACGGTGTCAGAGGACCTCTGACTGATATTTCAGACCACAGCCCTACACGCTGCGATTTTTTATGTAATCTACAGCCAGATCTTTGGGTCCTCGTGCCCTGCAACCAAGCCTTTGTTCATCGGTTCCGGCGGGCCGCTCGGGCCCCTCTTCGGGCCTCATTGAATGCTACCTCTAGCCGACTCGGAGGCTCTTGCCAATACAAGGCCCCTTGCTGGGCGATGCGGGTTACTGACAGACGCTGGGGCCCCGACCATTGCAAATCGCTGGCTCCTGCTTTGTCCCTGCTTGGGAAATGGGCCCGCAGGCTCGTGCCAACGCGAAGCCGACTGTGTGTCATTGGTAGTGCCTGAATGACATGTAGCCCGTTATCAGCTCAGGAGGCCCGTGCTCAGCGCGCAGGGCACTCTTACTGACATGAGAGTGCCCGGTACTGTGGGCCGTGCCCATGGTAGACATCCGGCTAGCCTTTTGGGCCCTTAGAACCCTCAAATTGAGCCCTTCTTCGCAGGTCCCGAGGGGCCCGGAGGGCCCCTCGGAACCTAAGCGGGCTACGTGCCCCCTGTGCCCCTCTGCCTGCGCTACCAGGCATGGTGGAAACTGTAGGTGAGAGTGGTTGGGGGCTGAGGCTGGTCCCGTAAACTTTCACACTCTCGCATTTAATAGCATCAAGCATTGATTGGCAGTAATTTGGCAGCATTTCTGGTGAATTTCAGTAAACTAGAACTCCCAGAGATATCCTGAGTTATTTGGTCGGAAAAAGTCGCTAGCGACTTGAAACAAAAACACGCTGTTCGTCTTGATCATGGCGCATTGCTCTTAGCTCGTCGCGGTGGGTGGCGCGGGCTGCCGGTGCGCTCCTGCGGCACGCAAGTTTCGGTAAGATATTCGTGCGAATTCGCTCCCATTCTCTCACGAGAAATGATAGGCCTGGGTGCTTGAAATGCATGCACGATCGGAGTTGTGGTATATACTGGGGAACTGGGTCGGGTCGTCAACAATACTGTTCGTGGGTTTGCACACGCCCACACAGGTACTCTTGCTAACAGAGTACTGATACAACACAATTGTGGTGTGATTTTATGAATATATGACGCTGGCCAGCACCAGCGTACATATGCGTTGTCAAAAAACTGATCAAAACTGATGCTGGTCAACAACAGGCTGTGGTGGCCTGATGTGGCAGGCAGATTCATGGGTTTGGCTGTT